ATTGAGAGCGAAGTGCTGTATCCATTACATGGAGCCTGTTATTCAAGTATTTTATCAAAACAACTTTTCAAAACATAACACATATGGAAAACCCCCCAGATGTCACAGCACACAGCAAAATAATATTTGAAGGCAGGATTGTAATCTTGCTAAACTGACTGCACAGATCATGTTTTGAGGTGGACTTTCTTGGTTAAAATTATATTAAAACTAATTTTTACCAGCTTATCACAGCAAATATAGCAAAGCCGCTCTCAGCCATTGAACACAGGAGCTGCATATGCACATTAGGAGCATCTAGGATGCTCTTGATATGCACCTTACCTAAATGTATACAAGCTTAAAAAACGAAGCAGCAGCCCAACCGTGTCCGGTGTGAACATAACATTAGACTTGTAGCTATCGCCATTAAATAAATAAAGTGAACCAGATTAGCTTAGCTACAGATACAAGGACCAGTTCTAAAAGAAACTGAAACAATTAAATAATAAATTATTTTCCTTTCATACATTTTTGTTTGAATGGATGTTTTTAATCCTCTTTCTCCAATTGACAGTGGTGACAGCTACTGCGATGGCTGGAGCTGCCATGTATGAGCTGGTTCGTGTCGGTCACAGTGAGCTGGTGGGAGAAATCATCCGTTTAGAAGGTGACATGGCAACCATCCAGGTGTATGAGGAGACCTGTATCCTTTCTACTGCATCAAGGCCTTCCATTATAGTAAAACTTTCTAAGTTATGTCAGTTTTTGAATGCAGTAAGTATAAAATAATGAAAGCAACAGATGATGCTTCGTGTTTACTTCCCCTAACTGAGACGTTTCCAGCTGGGGTGTCTGTCGGTGACCCAGTCCTCCGTACGGGGAAACCTCTCTCTGTAGAGTTAGGCCCGGGAATCATGGGCTCCATCTTTGATGGTATCCAGCGTCCACTAAAAGACATTAACGATCTCACTCAGAGTATCTACATCCCACGAGGAGTAAATATTGGCGCACTAAACCGGGATGCCAAATGGGAGTTTTCTCCTGGCCAGAACCTTCGAGTAAGAAATGTTTCCCCTGTGAATTTTAAATTAAAAACCATCTGTAAACCTGTCTCACTCCGTTTCCTTTTTTTTTTTCTGCCTGCAGGTTGGCAGTCACATAACGGGCGGAGATATATATGGGACTGTGTTTGAAAATTCCTTAATAAAGCATAAACTAATGCTTCCTCCCCGAAACAGGGGCACTGTCACCTATTTGGCTCCTTCTGGAAACTACGACCTTTCTGTGAGTGCTGCTCATAAATCTGAATGCCCACCTCTTTGGAAAACTTCTGCTGATATTTCAGTTTGATCTGTTTTGGATATAGGATATTGTTCTGGAGCTGGAATTTGAGGGAATAAAAGAGAAGTTCACTATGATGCAAGTGTGGCCAGTACGGCAAATCCGCCCGGTAACAGAGAAATTACCTGCCAACCATCCACTGCTGACTGGTCAGAGGGTTCTGGATGCACTTTTCCCGTACGTGTTTCTTTAGAAAAATGTGTTAAAATATATATATAAGTTTATTATGAGGTGTTTATGTGAGCCAACCTTTTAAATATCTGATTGTTTTGTTTTATAGGTGTGTACAAGGTGGCACCACGGCTATTCCTGGAGCCTTTGGATGCGGGAAGACCGTGATCTCTCAGTCGCTGTCCAAGTACTCAAACAGTGATGTCATCATCTATGTGGGCTGTGGAGAACGTGGCAATGAAATGTCTGAAGTGCTGCGGGATTTCCCAGAGGTTGGTTGAACAACATGAGTCTAAAAGTTTCCTCTCTGTTACTGAAACCTTTTACAATCTTCTAGCTCAATATAATGTAATACTTTAACTTTCTAGAAGCTACATTTGGCATTTTTTTCACATTTTTATTCTCAGACAATATGAAGGGTTTGTATAGGAGCTTGAATCCTTGAATTTTTATGCTTTTAAGACTTAAAAAAATACTTTGAGAATACTTTAATTTTGAGTTTAGTGCTTATAAAATTCCCAACAGCTATAAAAATCTCCCTTACAAAGACCCTTCAATCAAACTAACACTAACAAACTATTACAAATGTGAAAAAGAAAAATGTAAAAGGAAAAAAAAAAAAAGACGAAGCTTTGTTTTATAATTGTTTAATAAGGGGGCCGTCATGTTGCAGTACCTCAAACGGTGACGTCACAGGGTTGATTCGCATTGCATTGCTTATGCTTTGGAGCCCATTCACAGTGTCACTGGAGCCGTAGGAATGAGAGAAGGGGCGATTTTGGAGCAGGGGGTTCTAACTAACCCTGCTCCCCCACAGAAAAGCACTTTGGAGATAATCTAAAGTAAGACTTTTGTCTGAAGCTGCTCTGAGTGTTTTTAATTTCACTGCCTATAAGCTGGGCTCTACCAGCCAAAACACTAACAGCGGTTCAGTGACAACAATCAACAAATCAAGCCCAATTTAAATTTACCAATCATATATAGCCTTAAAAATGTCCCATTAGTTTTAAACGTCATGATTAAAAAATTGTGCATTATTAATTCCAAGAATAAATGCAAACTTATGTCAATGCTTAATGTGTTTGCTTTGTGGGCTTACTGCAACTGGATAAAATGGGGATTTAGTAAAATTTTGTTAAAGGACTTTCTTTTCTTAGGTATACTCAATGGTGCATATATAGAATAGAAAATCCCTTTATTGTCCCATGGGGAAATTCTGGTGTTTACAGCAGCCAAAAGATTGTAGAAAAAAAAATGGTCACACAAATGTGGACCTTAGAAAACTGTATAATAATAACATATTAGAAATCACATATCTAAATCATATGAATTTATAAGTATGAATGTAATGTTATTTATTTTATTCAACAGCTTACTATGGAAGTTGATGGCAAAGTTGAGAGCATTATGAAGAGAACAGCGCTGGTTGCAAACACGTCAAACATGCCGGTGGCGGCTCGAGAGGCTTCCATCTATACAGGTACCAACAATCTACATCGTACTGGATTCCCACTGTGATGAAGAGCTTTACTGGTTCTACATGTACAAACGGTTAAATCCAGATGTTTTGATCTACTGTTACAACTAAAAGGATATTACTGGTTTTCTTGTCTTTCTTTAAATTAGTTTACGCATTTCTCAACTTAAATCACTTAGTATTTATTCAATGTATTAATGAATAACAGAACAATATGTTTTTTTCCTATCACTTAAAGTCAAAAGTTGACATACTGCAGGATCAATTCAATTCATTTATATATTACCACACTTTAGGTAAATGGTAAATGGCCTGTACTTGTATAGGAAAAAATCTATTTAGTAAAATCATAGTTTTCCAATCAGGTGTAAACATTCTGCTTTTATTCTAATTATCAAACTATGCGGGCAACAGAGTTTCCCCCAGAGAACTGGCCCAGGCTGGTGGAAGGTATCTTTAGGGCAGNTGTATAATAATAACATATTAGAAATCACATATCTAAATCATATGAATTTATAAGTATGAATGTAATGTTATTTATTTTATTCAACAGCTTACTATGGAAGTTGATGGCAAAGTTGAGAGCATTATGAAGAGAACAGCGCTGGTTGCAAACACGTCAAACATGCCGGTGGCGGCTCGAGAGGCTTCCATCTATACAGGTACCAACAATCTACATCGTACTGGATTCCCACTGTGATGAAGAGCTTTACTGGTTCTACATGTACAAACGGTTAAATCCAGATGTTTTGATCTACTGTTACAACTAAAAGGATATTACTGGTTTTCTTGTCTTTCTTTAAATTAGTTTACGCATTTCTCAACTTAAATCACTTAGTATTTATTCAATGTATTAATGAATAACAGAACAATATGTTTTTTTCCTATCACTTAAAGTCAAAAGTTGACATACTGCAGGATCAATTCAATTCATTTATATATTACCACACTTTAGGTAAATGGTAAATGGCCTGTACTTGTATAGGAAAAAATCTATTTAGTAAAATCATAGTTTTCCAATCAGGTGCAAACATTCTGCTTTTATTCTAATTATCAAACTATGCGGGCAACAGAGTTTCCCCCAGAGAACTGGCCCAGGCTGGTGGAAGGTATCTTTAGGGCAGTCCACAGTGTTTTTGTTAAAAGGCAAAATTTAAAGTTAAAATTTGTGTTATTGTTACAAATTATTGACGATGCTTGCACACCAACAATAGAGTCCTAAAAAAAAGTTTACTTTTAAAATACTATTTTCAATTTTAAAAAAACTTAAGATTAGGGCTGGAAATAATGATTATTTTGCTAACCAATTAATTTGTAAATTATTATATTTTAATTAATTAATAATTAGATAACCAAAGGTTCCTTAAAGAGATTTTATGCAGAATTTAAACCAGGAGAGGCTAAAACTTTTTCCACTTCAGATGTTCTGGATAGAGAATGCTGACTGACCAAAATGGTTTTTCATGCTGAATGTAGAATATTTATTTATTTTACAAATTTAGGATAATATTGGACTGAGTGGGCTGCTCTTACAACTAATAGCATTCTTTAGAGTCTCTTTACTTATTAACCATCAGTCAATTTACTCAATTAGTTAAGTTATTTCCATAATTAATTAATCACATTGGTCCTATTAATTGTTTCTGACCTAATTAAGATAAATACAGTTGTTATTAAATTAAACCTGTAGTTATTACACTGTGAATCTTAAAATAAGCAGTGTAATGCTGCTAACATTAACAATCAAAATGAACTGGCATAAATGAAATGCACATAAGCTTTCTTTATTGCAGAGAGAGCTAATATGTGCATTTAGCTCATCTACGCTCTATGTTGTAGAAGCAGCTCTAATGAAGACTGAGAATCCTGGAGTCGGCTGATCCAAACCTGACAAAATTCACCAGGAAAAGCTGCAACTATTAAGCAAAGCATACATAATATTATGTTTAAAAGCAACATTTTGCTTTTAAACATAGATTAAATTAGTGCTTGCTTATTGATATTTTCATTTCCAAAAAAAAATGCTTCTCCTACTTCGCGTCTGCTAAATTTAGGCTTATCGATCTGCAGGTTAGATGTTTAGAATCGTGTAAGGATGCTCTGAAAACACTTGACTCCCTGTGTGTTCATTGGTTGGCCAGAAGGTGTCACCATTGTGCTTTAGGCTGTGTCACCAAAGATGCTCTACTTCAGTGTTTTCCAACCTTTTTGGACTTGGGTACCTCTTTGGGTATTTTGTCTAACACTGAGTACCCCTATCAGTCAAAAGTATTGATGATTTTCCAAAAGTGGAACGTACAATAACTGATTATAAAATAAAAATATTTTACTTAATCTTTTAATTTGAGAATTTAATTATTTGGCATTTTATTATTTCCATCTCCAATAAAACAACAACCTAAAATGTTGCCTGGAACTTAGTCAGGAATTGAAATAAATACAAAAAATCATATTAAAAACCTGTATTCATAAAAATGGAGTTCCTCTCTCCTATAATAAAATTTAAACTTGATGAATTGGGAACAAAAAAATTATATTGAGACTGACTTAATTAGTGTTTCATTGTTTTCTTCAAGATACACGAACTCTGATACCTCAGTTTCACCTGATACCAGGCGGTTCTCTACACCCAGTCTGTTCTTCTGCTTGGTTTTGATGTTTTGTGCTCACAGCTGAAGGTGAACTCAAAGAAAAACTTAATTTTTCAATTTGGTCCTTTAAAATCAAAACAGATCCCAGCCCTATTTTATTTTACTACCTAAAAAATAAAATATTTTCATGTACCCCTTGCAATACACTCATGAACCACTAGGGGTACACATACCCCCGGTTGGGAGCCACTGCTCTACATTATATCTCCATTACTAGTGCATAGAAATTTATTTAAGATGTATAAACAAACAATGCTCTGCCTAGTGGGTAAATTAAAGCTTTTCTTATGTAACTAAGGCTGCTCTCATGGAAGTTTTAAAGTGGTAGGGAAGTCATATTTAAATGTCAAATCAACGATCATCTGTCAATCATGTACGGCTGTAAGCCTACGACAAACAAAGTTTCCGCCGCCTTGGCGTCCTCTTCCACAACAACGTCCCCGCTTTCCTCCTCTAAATAAAAAATGGATGACGGAGGAAACTCATCCATGACCTCCGACGCAAAACTCTCCTCCTCTTGCATGTTTCCACTGTCCATAGCGTTCCTTGACAGTGATGTGCTAAGTGCTACTTGGTCCCAATGTAATTTCCCATTGGAAACCTACTAGCACTAAGTTGCTAACTGGTTAGCAAGATGCTTCCGACTAACCAGCCACAATCAAACTTTCTTGCAGACCTTCCGCCACAACAATCCGGCCCTCTTGATAAATGACTAATCACATTCACTTTATTCACTCATGTAAAGTCGGGCACCACTCAGGAGAATTCGGTGCTGCAGGGTTTGGAACAGCCGTTTCCCTACGAATTTTAACAGTTGTTGTAAAATGTGGCCAGATTTAGCTTCTATAAAGAGAAAAGACGGAGAACTTTAATTTATTGGGTAGAAGCAGACAGTAACTTATAGAAAGTCCCATCGACTGTAGCTGACCTTACACTTGCAAAAGGCAACACAAGAAAAGAGGAAACTGTTTTAAGATTGATAAGGATGAGGAGAGCAAAATGCTTTAAATTACTTGAAGGCATGTCATACAAATGTTCATATTTTTTTACTCCCTTCACAAGTAAGTCCTCAAAATTATATATCATCGTTTCTACTGTCAGTTTACTGCACCCTGAAATTCATCCTACTTAACAGCACCCATCCAAACGCTGACCGTATAACAGTTCTTGAATGCTGTGAGAAAAAAAATCTGCCTAGACAATGTGTTGAAAACAAGCAGTGAGAACCCCCAAAACAGGGCTGTGGGGGAAAAATGACATCATTTGGTGGGAGCAAGAAAAAAAAAACTCACCTCTGATGGAATATGTAGCAGCATGACTAAAGAACTAACTCAGGATAAACTGTCTAGAAGGTGATAGACCAAAAACAGTTCAGATTTAACAATATTTATATTATTCTGCAGGGATCACGCTGTCTGAGTACTTCAGAGATATGGGCTACAACGTGAGCATGATGGCGGACTCAACATCTCGATGGGCTGAGGCTCTGAGAGAAATCTCTGGAAGGCTGGCTGAAATGCCTGCTGGTGAGTTTGCTGCTCTGTCTTTTTGTGCTTTTAAAGCATTTTTTCTTTATCCTGTATAATCACCTAAACCAGGGCGCTCTTTGCATTGCACTTATTCTATAAATAGTTTTTGAAATCCCAGAGCAGACGTAATAATCATCTGTCAATGCTCCTGCTTGCAGACAGCGGTTATCCTGCTTATCTTGGCGCCCGGCTGGCTTCTTTCTACGAACGCGCTGGACGTGTGAAGTGTTTGGGAAATCCAGAGAGGGAGGGCAGTGTCAGCATCGTTGGAGCGTCAGTTCATGTTTACACTTCTGTTTACCTTTTCACCTATTAACCCTTACATGCATCAACTCTGCTTTGTGTTAGATTATTAAAACTTAAATCAGATCATATGAAAACTATAATTAGAATTTTACTTTAAAGTTGTATTTTTTAACTAAGTATTAGATTTTTTTTACTTCTTGTGATAATGATCAACTTTACCCCCATAATGTGTTTTTGTTTGTTTATGGAAATTCTAAGGAAGTCTTCATCTGCATTGTTTCAGACATTAGACTGACCTTTCCTTTTAACTCTGTGTTTGCTGATAGTGTGTCGCCCCCTGGTGGAGACTTTTCAGATCCAGTCACTTCAGCCACATTAGGAATAGTTCAGGTGAGCTGCTGGTTACGAAGCTTTGATCATGGATCCTTTGATCCATTTTTTTTACATTTTTTTTTATTTCCTCCCAGGTCTTTTGGGGCTTGGACAAGAAGCTGGCTCAGAGAAAGCACTTCCCCTCAGTAAACTGGCTAATCAGTTACAGCAAGTACACACGAGCTCTGGATGAATATTATGACAAACACTTTCCAGAGTTTGTTCCTCTCCGTACAAAAGCTAAGGAGATATTGCAGGAGGAGGAGGATTTGGCGGAAATTGTGCAGCTTGTAGGCAAGGTGAGGTGGACTTAGATGGGAAATTTCTTCACCAATGTTCAGATTAAACCTAATTTAACGTTTCACTTCCCATGTCGAAACCCTGACTTTTTTTTTATCTTTTATGTGTTTTCAACTCAGACCAACAGTCTGGGTGCTATCACTAAATATAACAAGTACTGATCGTCTGTTTCTGCAGGCTTCTCTTGCTGAGACTGATAAAATCACTCTGGAGGTTGCTAAACTCATTAAGGATGACTTCCTGCAGCAAAACGGTTACACCCCCTACGACAGGTAAGAAAGGGACCTGCTTTTTTTTATATATATATATATAGATATATATATCTATATATCTATATATATATATATAGCTGTTGCTCTACTTTTGGCAATAGCCAAGGCTCAGTTCCTCACCTCTCTGCTGCGTTCCCAGACCATGATAGTGCTTGAAGTTGGAAAGTCTACAAACATTTCATGTAAAAGCAAAAAAAAACAGAGAAGCACTCTGAGAGATCAGACCTCCGCCAAGCAGCAGATTGTGGTGTATGTTGTGACTTAAATTTTACACTTGCTGATGATCTGGACCATCACCAGATTTTAATTGATTGTTCCTTGTTGTTAGGTTCACCTTAAATATTTCCCTAAAATTCATGAAAACTTTTCAAGTAATCAAACAAACCAATGAATATGCTTCTTGGTGGCTGCCCTGACTGAAGCACAGCATGTGTCTGCAGCCTATGGTGTCTGTTCTGCTCTCGCCTTCATTCACTTTGCACTCTTGGCTCTCTTTTCTTTTATGTTTGTATATTTGTCTGGTATAATCCTTCCTGACTTTTTGCTTCCGATGCTGATCCTGTCAATAGTCAATGCTGCCACCCTCTGCTTTCAGAGGGAACTGCTTGTTCTGCCATTATCCCCATCTGTCAATATTAATGAATTCTTTCAAAAATTCCTGTATCCAGCTTAGTGTTTGGATCATCACCAAAATTAAATGCCATGCCTCACTTCACTGGTAAAAAAATTCATTAAAACCTGTAAAAATTCAAGTAATCCTGCTAACAGTCAGACAAACCTGACTTAAAACTTCACCTCCTTGGCGAAGGTAAGAAACTAACCTATTCTACAACAAAATAAGGACCAAAGTCTTGTTTAAAGGAACTTTCCCTAAGAGGCAGATGGACAGGGAAAAGTGAAACTGAGTGGTGCTACATGAAAAGCTAGCGTTACAACACTGTTGTTTGTGAGGAACATTAAAAGATCAGTACAAAAAATATGGTCAGTAAAGCTCTGGTTTCTGCAACAGTAAAGTAATAAACCTATTAACTACATAAGCTAACGCTAGCCACTATTATTACTATGACATGTACAGCCCAGTGATGGGGTTCTGTCTGTCATCACCCTTCCATTCCAGATGTGCTTTTTAGGAGCCCAGAGCTTCGTTCTCTTACATACACTCGGTCATATAACAGAGAAGCAACAAAACAAACCAGTACGCCCAGTTAAATATTAAAATGTTGAAATATTATGCAAAAGGAAAAGATAGACATAAGTCTTAATGGGTGTTTCTGTATACTTTACCATTATCCAGATTCTTTTGTTACAGTGGAACAGATATTTCATATGAATTAATAATGATTAATCGATTATTGAAATAATCGTCAACTAATTTGTAATCAATCAATCATTAACTGTAAAATATGCCTTTAGCTGATAGAGCAACCCACTACAGCAGTAATTATACAGACATTTAAAAAAAAAAAAAGAGATGTAAAAATTTTGAATTAAAAAAAAACAAATATTTTTCGTCTGTCAATATGCCTGTCCAGATCTCCTCAAGTGGAAAAGTTTGTTTCACCTGGTTTAATTTTGTGAAATGTCCTCTTTAATTTTGCTTTTGCTATCCACTTATTTATCGATTATTTGAAGAAATAATCAACAGATTAATCAGTTTGCAAAATAATCAGTAGATGCAGACCTGTTATGAACCAGATCAGTGTTTGCTTTTCATATAGTCTAGACATTTGGTCTTGGTCTTGAAATGTGCGTTCTTTGCCTCAGATGAACCGGCCTTGACTCCATTCTTGATAACGAGGCTTAAAAACATTTAACATCTTTAACTTTCGCTTGTCCACTAGGATTATTTTTATGATGTGCACTTAGTCTTGTTGGGTTCAGGAAAGGCTGAATGATTATTTCTCCTCTTCCCTGAAAGCGTGATACACTTTGAACCTCTAAACTTGCTTTGTCTAAGACTCTCTTAATGAAAGTTGAAGAGTTGGGATTAGAATTATTAACGTGATATTTATGGTTCATATGAAGATAGCTTATTTGTGTTAAGCTTAGGTAGATGGGCGAGTCTAAAAACAGTTATAATCTCTATTCTGCTCATCTCAGAAGATAAGGTTTTTATGAAAACAGCAGAAACAAGTTATTGTCTAAGGAGGCACGTGTTTGAAACGTTCCTTCATGTGATTATTACATAAACTGCAAGGTTCACACATTCCTCTGTCCTCCGCACGCAGGTTCTGCCCCTTTTACAAAACCGTTGGCATCCTCTCAAACATGATTGCTTTCTACGACATGGCCCGACATGCAGTGGAGTCCACAGCTCAGAGCGACAACAAGATCACCTGGGCCATGATCCGAGAGCACATGGGAGAGATCCTGTACAGGGTCAGCTCCATGAAGTTCAAGGTACATCCAAGGATCAGGTTGCTTTTTTATATTTCATGCTAAATTAAAATGGATTAAATAATTAGTTTGTGTTTGTGGTGTCTTCCTTAGGACCCTGTTAAAGATGGAGAAGCTAAGATTAAGGCAGAATACAGCCAGCTGCTGGAGGACATGCAGAACGCCTTCCGGACCTTAGAGGAATGAGCTTCTAGAAGATGGTCAAACCATAGAGTCCAGAATCGTTTGTTGTGATTGTGTTCATTTATATTAATATTTTTTTTTTCTGTTTACATCCCCTTCAACATTCCAGGACTATCATAGGTTTTATCTTATTATGGATCATTTTTTATTTAGATAAAAAAAAAAAAAAAGCTGCTGCTGGTATCAAAATCATCACCACCCCCACAAGCAACATGTTTGCTTTGTTCTGTAAAGACGTTCACATCTTGTTCAAGCCCATTCACAGCTTGTCTCGTTGATGAAGGCGACTTCTTCACTTCTTCTTGAACGTAAGCAGTGCAGCTTTTTGAAAAATGTATTAAACCAAGCGTATGGATAAAGGGACAGAGGATTCGAGGTGTTCTCAGTGGGGTTAAATGCATTTATTTTTACCTCTTACTTCATGCAGGTGATCGTGATGTTGACTGTATACTTGATGTAATGTATAAAAATGTAAAATGAATCTGTTGAAACGTGTATGTCTATCGGTCAGTGGTACTTTGAATAAATAAATGAAAGGTATAAAAACAGTTTGTCTCAGAGTAAATATATAGATGGAGCTGTGAGACTTTGGGGCACTGGAGATGCTTTTAAAGACTAACAAGTAAGCGAAAGCTGTGTCCTCATTCTCTGTATGAAGCTGAGCCTCTCCCCTACAGGATCAAATGTTCATGGACAGGATCTCGGGATGTAAATTAGCCTAGATAAAAGTTTTTGCACACAGCTTTTGCTTTCTTGATGGTCCTTTAAATTAGCTTTTTTGGTTCACGGTTGGACTGCTCCATCCTCCTCAGGGGTCACTTTTCCTCTAGCTGAGTAGTTGAGTGTTTTGGTGTCTCAATAACGGTTGCTGGTAGAGTAGTGAAGGGTGAAGAGATGATTGATGTGTTGATGCTTCTCTTGTCTGTCGGGTTGTATGAGCAGAGTCCTCAAGCTTTTGATTTACCACAGTGTTTCTGCTCTGATACTCTTTCTTGGTCTTGGAATGTAGGTCATGACTGAATGAACAGGAACCTGGATACAAGGAGCAGAAGGGAGCCATGACCCATCTTTAGAGATGTGGAGCAGAACTGTGGGCACAGCTGCTCCTGACCAAATCCAGGCGTTTGATTAACATGCTTCTTGATCAGATTCTTCTGAGGTTTTCTGTATGGATGCAGCTGGGAGAAGAACCCAGTGTAGAACAACCCCTCTTTTTAAAAAAAAAAAAAAAAAAAAGGTTTGAAAGCATCGTTGGTCAGATGGGTGTCTAGGTTCCCATTCTATCTTAAACACATGGCCATCTTTTTTTAATGTCACAGTCCACAGCTTGTTTTTCAGTCAAGATCAAATCTTTTATCTAAACTTTTTAGAAAATTTTGCATATTTCCCCACTAGGTGGTGCTTTTAAATCACAGTGACTTGACAAGCTCTAAAGATTGCTGATATCTTAAAATCTTCAGAGCTCATTTTGTGTTTAATTTATGCTACATCTTTTCAAACTCTGTTAAGTTGGTGTTTTTCAACTAGTTTCCTTCTCTTGCAAAGAGCATAGCCATTGGAAGCAATTTGTAAGACTGTTGACAACAGTCTAAGCAAAAAAAACAAAAGCATGGCCTGCTAAGATGGATTGTTCAGATATCTGACATCAACATTAGCTTATTTACTTGCAAGAAGAAGCCAAAAGATGGAAAGTTCATCAGCATATCAGGATACCGTTGCTTTTCAGAGGTTTTATGTTTTTAATGCCCACATCTATAGGTATACCTACACATGTTTACTGCAAAGTTCATGGCCAAAGGTTTAAGTTTCCTTTATCTGTTTGCTGTTTCTTTTAGTCTTCACTGTTTTGTTTCTTATATCTACGGTATTTGAATTGTGTCTAAGTTGCTATAAATTGTAATCAGATGACATACAGCTCTTTGCCAAGTTGATGGATATTACATTGATTGCAAAGATATTACTCTGAATTTAGCACCGCTATAATAATTAACTGACAGCTTGATATTCTGCAGGATGTGTCAGGGTTTTATCTTCAAATAATTACTAAAGAAAGAAAGAAACTGTAACACCATTATGAGATCCCACAAGATCGAAACAGTTATGCTCTTTTTTTATTGTCAGATCAAAAGATATGAGAATTGAGATATCTGTAGAACCAAATGCACACATGATGAAATAAAGTGTGATGGGACACTGGGAATAAATAATCGACACATGAAGAAAAAGATGCAGGAAGCTATTGAAAGCCATTAAAATAGCTACCAATGTCTGGATTAATAAAGCTTTTCTTCTGCTATGTGCAAATCAGTATCTTCTGTTTTAACATTAACTGGTGGACTTCAGATGGTGTTGCACAGATATTTATGATTGGCTGAACAAAAGAGCATTAAGAACCCTTCTTGCAGCAAAAAAGTAATCTCTCTAAATTTCTTATAAGACCAAAGGAGCACTCAGAAAGCTCTAGATTTTCCTGGGAATCAGCAAGAAAATATCTAAAAAATGTAGCTTTAATATCTGCTATGCTCATTGCACAAGACCCCACTGCAGAACAAAGAAAAATAAATACATTGAAGTGTGTTGTTTGTTAATACAGCAGCGGGCTGCTGAAGATTTTGGCAAGCCGACTTATTGGGAGACTACTGCCTGGTCAGATGAGGCCGAAGTTGAACTCTGGATGTCATTACATATGCCCTAGTTGGAGAAATATTGGTTCTGAACAAGACCCCCCAAAAAGGATCCCAGAAGTGAGGTTTGCAGGTAAGAGTTTCATGGTGTGGGATTTCTTACAGCATCTGCTAATGCCAGACTTTATATGAGCAAAGGAAGAATAAATGGAGAAAGAGTCCTAAACAAAGAGACAAGGAAACTCAGAAAAAAACCATTCAATAACCAGTGGATAAAAAAAAGACCCCCAAAACCTGAGTCACGTCACAGCTAAGTAACTACTTTCATCTAATTAGTTTTCTTCATACAGGATTCTACTCCTTTTTTTTGGTGTTGATTTCATGTCAATGTTAATATATCAAAGAGATCTAGGGAGAAAACATATTCTATCCAACCATCACAAACATATAATAAAACAAGATTAAAAAAATGTGGCTGAGGTGTGAAAAAATATTAACATTTCTTAAAAGGGGAAGTGTTTTTTTTTTGCTGACATCTTTTTTTGTCCTCCTTGTAAATACCTGTGAATTACATGGCATAATGAACTCTTATAAAATGCCAGCGTATAAAGAGAGGCTAAGGATTTAAAACATTCAGCCATATCAACAAATTAGTAATCATGAAATCTTAATTTCTTTTAAGAATCACGTCCAATAAATACAGAGGTGTCAACTAAAAATGTACAACCTTACTTAAGTAGAAATTTTGGCTAACTATACTTTACTGGATTAATTATTTTTTATGCAACTTTTTTACTTCTACTCCTTACATTTTTTTTTGTGAAAATGTCTCTATTTTCTACTCCTTACATTTTAAGAATAGAATAATTTTTGTTTCATTTGAGCTCCCTTTTCGTTATCATCTGTTAGTATTAAAAAAAATAAAAACCATCAAAATAATTTGCTTTATCCAGACCATTAATTTATCAGTGGTCGAACTCCGTGCTGCACCAACTGATTGTTCGCTACATATTAAATTAAAATTGACATCGTTAGCATCAGTTATAAACCTGAGAAAATTAAGTATAACGAAGTTATCATCCAGAATTATAGAAAAATTTTCCTTTATTAGGGTCTCGCAGTAAAGCATCTGTCCTTAACTTTTTTTCCTGCATTACTTGCCTGCATTACAAAATACTAAAGAACTAGGAAATCTTTCTTCAGAGCTTTGTGAGCGATCATAAGAAATTTGTAAAGACGAAGAATGCAGTGAAGCAAGCATTAAGAATTTTGCCCAGCAGTAAACATGTGGCTTAGGGGTGAACTTCAACGCATTCTGCTGCTTCAGTGTTTTGCCCCAGCAAAGCATCTACCAAATTGGTTTAGAGCTGTTATCTCAGGTTCCGGGTTCCATTAAGACTAATGGAAGCTCAACCCATAAGGGCAAGAGCAGCATCTTTTCGCCTGCATTGATTCAGTTTGTCTAGACACACATTTGTGTGGACATTAAGGGCTCAGAATACACCAAACCTATAGCTCATAATGCACCTGAATCTGCTCCTCCTTCTTTGGTTTATAAAGATTGATGACGAGTGTATGGAAAGTCATAAAAGGTAAATTAACCAAAAGAAAAAAAAAAGATTGTTTCTTTTGCTAATGCAAATAACCTCTAGCATGAGATTCTGCCTCTGCATTGTTTTAACTGATTTTAAAGTGATGGTAGCATTCTTATTCTGTACAATTATGTCTTATAATAACCAGATAATAACTCTGATTTGCTCTGGTAGCTTCCAGGAAGTCCAATCTTCCAGACGTCCGAGTGCTTTTTCATTTCTTATGCAGCTGGCTGTTAACACAGTGAGGCTTGCATTAAACACTTATAATCCATATTCTATCTTTTCTTTTCTTAGTGGTGAAGAAAAGCTAGCAGATGGATGAACTCACTCGACCCCCCAAAGTACCTCTACTACTCTATTTTTTTTTTTTTTAGATTTTATCTAACAGGCTTATTTATATTTATGTCATGCATGGGCTAACAATATGTAGGTAACCAGAAGTAGAATAAACATGGTTTAAAAGGAATGAAGGTATGCAATTACCTGTTTGTTATTTGGTAATTTCTAGTGTTCGTTGGTTTGCTACATTCTGTGGGTATTTTTTTTTCTCAGAGTGACTTGTGAGAGTTGATGGGAATAAATACATGATAATCCTGAAAAAAAACTTTTTGGAGGCTGTAGAGGACTTAAAACTGGGGTGGAAGTTAGTTCTTTCTAACTTTTGTCTTCTACCTTTAAAGTAGAGCCAGAGTTATGGCTGAAAAGTTTATATCAAAGCTCATTAAATGTAGAAGAATGGCTCAGTCAAAGTCCTGACATAGATCCAACTAAGAACCTGTGAAAACGGTTCAACGTAGATGTGGGGGCGTCATGAGCTTGACACTGAAGTCTGGTCTGATTACTAATTTCTCACACTTGCTTAGCTCTGCCCATTACTCATTACCTGCTTATCAGATCCACCTGTATAAGTCTCCATCTAACCGGCCTTCAGATCAGTCATTCAGTGCCAGATTATTTTCGAACCATTGGTGAGAATTATTCTAGCGTACCTGGATTCTGATTACCTGATCCTAACCTGTTCTGCCTCTTGACCTCTGAGCCTGCCTGTCCCCGTCTGATCTGTTTGCCCGATCTGTCCTCCGACTACTGCCAGGGCTCTGCCTGTCTGTGCCCCATACTTCGAACTGTGACCCGACTTCATCCTTGATTCCCCCTTCAGCACCACACTGGCTGTGGTGACCTCTCTGACCTCTGGCTCTGACAACTGATCATGTCACCGACATCGGCTTTGGCTTCGCCCTCTGGATTAGCCTTCCTACACTGCGTGGTTCTGATCTCCTGCCTGTCATTCAATCAGCTGGAAGCATCCTCATCCTCTGGCCTCAAACTGAACTATAAAGCCAGGTTAGTGACTCACACGTTCATTATTAACCACTTCCAGGAAGACGTGGTCACCAACCTTTTGTTTCCTCCTGCAGACGTCACTGCCTTAGACGCTGACGCCGCTTCAGTTTTTCAATAAAAATTTTGAGAAATCTAAATGTTTTTCTGCCAATGTGTGCTTAACAGACATAACCCAAAAGACTTGTAGTTGTCATTTCAAGAAAAAAGTGCTATTAAATATTTACTGATTAGGGCCATCTAAAAGTGTTTTGCAGTACTTAGTTTTACATTTGTACAGATTTAATTAGAGTATCTACCATTTCATTTCATTTCATTACATACTTACAGAACCTTTTGTTCCTCTTTCCTTGGAATTCACTTGGAATGTGCTGTTGGCACTTGGTAGCCTGTATAATAGCCAACCATCCCATGTCTAACTGTTGCTAGGAGCCAGTGGTGGTGCTTCATGTCCTCTGCTCTGGGCCTGTACCACCTTCAGCCCACCTGACTGATCATGTGGAACCTTTGCCATCACTGGTAGCCAGCTTCATCTGCTCCCAGTTTGATGGTGAGACCCGCTTCCAGGACCAATATTCTGGTTTCCACTAGCTAATCAAGATGTCTTACATAGCTACCGACCTACTGTACATTAAATTACTGTTATTTTAAATGATGTGTGTAATTTACCATGGACCCTCGAGGGATATTTATTCTGTGTTCTTGAGTGGGATACTGGCTGCTTCCCGTTTGTTGTGCCTATTTCCCTGGTTGTCGAGTGAGTTAGTCCCACAACATATTACAATTGGCCCTGCTGGCGGGATATTATTGTGGACCATAAGATGCAGTTCATTCCAAAAGTTGGGTCACTCTATTTACTGTTTTTTTGTTTTCTTTTCATGATGATGATGAAAAATTAAAATATGGGGAACGGAAAGAAGACATTCAGAGTCTGTTAATGTCACAGAATTCGATTGCGACACAGCAAATTGGTGTTCTGACTGATGAAGCTAAGTGGGAAGTCTTTGTTTTGGGGGAGACAAAACATTATACAGCAGCAAAGATTTTTTTTTATCACTTTAATTTTATTTGTTGACAGAGTTCCCTTAGCAACTTTAAGGTCCCAGTTTTTAGCTGCAAACAAACTGCAAATGAGCACTTGATGTCTTATGTACTCATATTGCATACATTAATATGTAGGTTGAAATGTGATTCAGATGGGCCACTTGACAAAACACCATCTTACAGATCAGCTGTTGATTGGGATTCACAAGTTAGAGGTGAGGACCACGATCAGGACATATGCCCACCGTAACCAAAATGCAACCTTTATTGCCGTGCAAATTGTGGGTGAGACCAATGCTTCTAAACCTGCACTTTAGAAAAAATACTGGACTGACACATTCAGCCAGGAGCTCCTACAGGAAGTATGAGCACAGGTAAATGTCTGGAGAAATATTGCAGGATTCTGCCATTTGCTCCATCTGAGTCAAAAGCCAATTTAAATAAACATACCCTACTTCTGAGGTCCAAGTAGCAGGTAGTGGAACAAGGGACATGATTTGTTGGCACGTGAAGGTTGAAGGTTAATGGGGTTAAGCGGATTGGGCTAACAGATACAGGATCATAAGAGAATCTGATGCAACAAAGTATTTTTGACCACAATAATCTATCAAACTCCTTATCTTATAATAAAGACCCAAGTAAACTGACTCTTAAAGCTGCAAATGGATTATCTATTCCATATAAAGCATATACAGTGATGGACTTTGAAGTAAATGGTGTGATCATCCCAGGGTGTGGTATTGTAATAGTAGCATACATTGCCTTTCGGCTCCCCTACTTTTTGGTATGGATGATATTAAAACCTTTTGTAACCCAGAGACAAGGCGTGAAGCAGTAAAATTTGCAGTGTGTTAACGAGCAGCTGCTATCAAGAGCGAGGATGGCTGCATCTGTTTTTCTATGTCAAGCCAGTCGTACAGGCCTTACCATTCCCAGACAGCAGTGAGAAGGTAGTCTGGACCCTCATGGGCATAATAACTGTGGCCTAATCAAATTACCTGACCATGAGGTGCTCTATGTGGCAAGAACGTTTCATTTTGTGAAACACGGCAGAGTCCAATCAGGATTAAGAAATTGCGCCCCTGTCTTCATAGGTTAGCAAAGGATTGCAAATGTGGCCCCTGTTGGCCCAACTGACCTGACCTCAGCCTGACCAGGCAGGATGATGAAACAGTTGAGATAGATATTGTTGGCTGGAGAAGAAGAGACATTTTTTGCTGAGGTACTGGGGAACTTGCCAGGGTAGGAGGATTTAACTGAGCAGGGAAACATGGTCTTAAAGCCCTTGTCAAAACTCTGGGTAAGGGTGTTTGCAATTCATGAGGATGATTTAGGATACACAGAATTGGTGCAACATCAAATTCACCCTGGGGATGCATCCCCTGTTAGGGAGCGACATTACCCCATACCACCTATGATCTTTATGGAAATGAGAGTCCTGCTAGAAGATATGCTGGAGAAGAAGGTAATCCTGCAGAGTTCCAGTCCCTGGACTGCACCCATAATAAAGGCTCAGAAGGATGGCAATTGTCATTTTTGTGTGGATTATAATTCTTTCACACTGAAGGATGCTTTCCCCTCCCTTGAATCGAGGAGACCTTGACCTCTCTAACCTATCTAATTCACCACACCACATTTTGATTCACCACACTTAAAATTGCCAGTGGCTACAGGCAAGTGAGGGTTGAACCCTGAGATATACCTAGGACTACCTTTAGAACTCAGCTAGAATGGGACAAGTTCTAGAGAAAGCCATTTGGGCTTTGTAATGTACCAGATACTTTCCAATGGCTTCTTAGGACCATTAAAGAGGTAATTGCTTTCCTTGGCTTGCCATGATATTATCAGTTTCATTCCCAACTTTGCAAGAGTAGTGTGTTGTGTGTACTAACAGCTTCCCTTTTGTTGTTCCTAGTAAAGAGGTGCATTTTCTTTCCTTTTTTTACCGAGACAATCTGGGATTCCTGATAACCAACAAACCTGATTTAATGCATTTGACTTAACATGGGTTGTAATACTGTGAGTGGTCCTACAGTGTTTAACCTTTTTAAACAGTAGGTTTCTCAGTTCTCTGGATGGCGTTGTTGAGTCAGTTAATCCCTTTTCATAACATATTATTCCACAATTTGTTTCATTTTTATTCTAAATTATAGAGATCCAAATGTATTTATGTCACCTGCATGTTTGTCTGTGCGTAGTCCCCCAGCACCAAAGCATTTTCCTTTTACATCTAAAACACTACTTGGCAACAATGGGTTGGTGTTTTGCCTTTTTTTTTTTTTTATTCTAATGTTTTTAGTCATTAGTCTATGTCTGTTTGCTTTTGTCACTATCTCACCTGAATTTTGTAAGTATTTCTTATCTTAGTTTTTGGCTGTCACACTGGGAAAAAATAACAATCCTGTTAAGGATTGAGACTTAATGTGACAAAATGTCAAGAGGTTCAACGGGTATGAATTGTTGAGGTGTTTATTAGGATAGAGCAGAACCATCTTTTTAACACCGCGGGGGAGGAGGTGATTGTAGAGAAAACTTCCTTGAAGTGTCACCATGTTGTCACTTTAGGTGAAAAAAAGTGTTATTATTGGAAAGAGATTATTGGAAAACAGACACACCAGAGCAAAGATCTCCCATAAACACTCTCACACAGTTTCCTGAGTGGAAGCTGCAAGGTCAAACATCTTGTGGGCGGAAATGTGATCCCTGAGGGTGGGGCTGTTCATGGATCATGCTCACTCTCTAATCTTATGAGTGCCTGTCATCTTTCTCATGCTGCACACCTCATCCAGCTCAGTGTAGATTATCAGGGCTGCTGTTGCCGCTTTTGAAGACCTCAGCACAGACCAATCAGCTGTCCTGCAACGGCACGACAGGCTCCCAGATCATGGTTGCCCCAACCCACTGAGGTGGATCCTAAATTTACCAAGCATGCCAGTGTTTAAATCTAAAATGGCAACTGACAGTGTACGCCAGGGGACAACTTGTAAACTATTTAATGTTACGTGAGCTGGTAGATGCAATACAATATCAAAACCACTTCAGGAGGAATCAAAGCTGCCTTCAGTTAGGACACATCCTCTATGGGAATCTAAGCAATGAAAAGCATTTCCCTGCACTGACAGGCTGCAGCTGCAGCCCAACCAGCGATGTAAAATACCAGTTTCCTTTTTTTTCCCAACCCAAATGACTGATGAGCTACTAGGCTGCTCTGTTCATCCTTCCCGTCAGTCACTCACAGGAGCTCGATGACAAGAGGTCATGTTGCTCATTTTTTCTCTTCATCCTCATTCATCTCCTTAGGACTGCTTAACTTTCACTTGGAATAAGGGAATCTAACTTTTTTAGGTGGTATTTTATCACAAACAAAAGGTAAGTCAAAAAGAAACCCATGATTTTACTTTGCAAATGTGTTCTTCATCCTTTTAAAACTTTTAGTATATAATTCAACTGCGCTGATTTTTATTATAGTTAAATGCACAATTATTCAAAAACTGTCATTTTTAAAATGATGTTTCATGTAAATCTGGGTAAGAAATGTAAATTCATTTAAAACATTTGTCTAAAGTCTCTGATCTCAGAGCGTTATGGTCTTGGGTTTACTGACCCAGATAGTTAGTCCCTTCAGATTCATTGGCCTTGTTTTAACAAATTACATTAGACCCTCTGGGATGTAAAAGCAATCAGAATTATAGTCATTTCTTTTTTCAAACAAAAAGTACATATGTATGAAAAAGCATGTTTTAAATATTCTGGTGGGAGCCTGTATTGCATTCAATCTGTACAATCCTTTAATTTTTCACTGTCGTCTGCACATGTTTATCATAAATCATCAACTTTTTATTATGTAAAGGAAAGTGGTGTAAATGTGATGAATTCTTGTCTCTGCTTTTTCACAAGGCAACACCCAAAATTAGATTAGCAGCTGTTATCTCAACATGAAATCTTAACATTTACCCTGCAGCTCAAATTAAGGAAAAACTAGCAGTTTTTGGTCCGATTTAAAAGGCTAATTTGAGGAGCATACATACCTTTATGAGGATTAAGCCATGTATCACAAAAGTATTCAGATCCCCACTTAATCACAGAAATGTAACTGTGTTTTTTTTTTTTTTTTGCAATTGTACAACAATATTTTGCCTAATTTTAAGTAACATGAAAGTGGTGGCATCGTTTTCACAGTTTCTTAACAAATAAAATCTGAAAAGTGTTCTGTGCAGGTATTCTGTAGAAGTGTTTTTTGCTGCTGTTACAGCTGCTATTCTACTGATGTATGGTTTTGCACATTTAGAGACATTTTGCATTTTTTTTCTTTGCAAGATACAGAAAAAGCATTGAGGACAAAAACATTTCAGTTCTTACCACTGATTCTCCTTTCATCATATAACTGAACTTTGACTAGGCCACCAATAAATATGATCAGATCTAAAGTGTTCTAATGTAGCACTGGCTAACTGTAGCATTCAGCTACATCTTACAATCAACTCTGCCCAAATACCTGAACCTTGCTGAAAAGATAAAGAATGATGAGGTAGTTTTCCACTTCATCTTGCAGACTTCCATGTTTGCAAACCGTTTTCCTTTTTGACTCTTCTGACAGCAGTGCCTTCTCCTTCATATAGTATATACCTTATTTTATCCCTGTATCAAAACAAGAGCATAATTTTGATGTTTTTTTATTTTTATTTTATCTTAATCTTTGAATTCTAAGACATTTTGCAAATGTTTGTGAATACGGGCCTGTACTACCTAATACTACTTGAGCGGTGGAGCTCCTCCAAAGTTACAATAGACCCATTTTGCTGTTTCCCTGTTTAATGCTGTTCACAATCAATCTGTCAGTTTAATATTGTACGATAATTCTGAATTCAGTCGCCACACTTTGGAGATATCTATGTGTTAGAAATATTTTTTTAAACATGTTTTTTTTTTTTTACTATTTAGCTAACAGACATGTTGCATATCTATCCTTCTATTTTCTTTTAAAGTTGTGGTGGCTCAAAACGTTAGTGGCATATTTAGCAGGTCACTATGATATGGGAGAAGCTGAAGCCTCCAGAGCCAGACGATCGTATGTGTTGCTGCGAATGTGATATCAACCAGTGCAGGTGTTGCTGTGACTGTGAAGACCTGGATGAAGCTTTCAGTAGGTATGAGCACTGTGATGAAACTGCTACAATGATACAGAAATCTGTGAGACTGTAACAGAAAGCTGAAAAAAATGTAGGAAGAAAATGTTTGCTTATTGGAAGCAATCCTTCAACGTGAGCCTCGTAAACAGGCGACAGAGTCCATTGATTATCCACAACTTGCTGTATGTAAACTAGAAAATACATTTAATATTAACAAAGAACAATTTGAGACAATTAAAAGAAAAAAATAGAATAACTATGAAAAGACTTAACTAATAACCAACTAAGTAAACGTAGGAAAACAATCAAAACTAGACTTATATAAACTTTATTGTTATTTAGTATACAAAGAATGCATAAAAAAATAAATTTTGATAGACACAGCTTTTCGGCATTGAATGAGCAGTTTAGCACTGAAATAAACATTTCAATATATAAAGAGCAGTAGTGATCAAAATGTGAAAAGTGTAGGAGAGACATGGTCAAAAGGCATTAATGTAGAAGGTTCAGAGCAGTGCAAAAGAATAAACAAATAGATATTGTGCCAAATTAAACCCTTAATCATGACATTACTATAAAAGTTTTCGACATTTAAAACGTCTCTAAGTATTTTTTGGAAGATATGTAGCCTAAAAGGATTTAATTCTTTCTTTTAAATGTGTTTCTGAGAAGAAAGGCTGAACAGTGAGTCTAAACTATCGGCACTGCTAAATGGAATCTAAAGATAAAACTTTTTTAATCTTTTTTTCACTAACTGATACTACTTGTTCGTCCTCTTTTCTGAGAGCTTTAAAGATTTAAATATGTTAAAAACACATATCAAATTTAATGTGAATTTGCATTTATGCTAAGGGTTTGAACACAAAGGAATGTTATATTAGAAATCAAGTTAATAGTGACACAAATGGCAGTAATTAGCCCCAAAAAGTTTGCAGCACAAGAGTTTCACAATTCAGCTGAGATAAACTGCTACTGCACAATGTTTGATGGTATATTTTTTCTGTTATGACTCATGTCCCTGCTGTCCATAGCTGGCTGAAGGAGAAACCACCTTCTTGTGGGATCCAGTGTCCTGCCTTTGGGACCATGATGGACAACATGAAGATCTCCATGATCCCAGCTCTGCTTCTACTGCCTCTCCTGCTGAAAGCTGCAGCTCTTCACTACCTGCTGGGCATCATCATCCTGACGGCTCTGCCAGGCCTGGTGCTGTCTTACTACTATGCCACGCACCGAAGGAAAAGACGCACCCTCTTCTTCCTCACCCTTGCACTGTACTCTCTGGCCTACATGTATTACCTGTTCATCACAGAGATCTTACCCCGTGGAGATGTAAGCCCACTGCAGACGTTTGCTGTGACCACTGGGATGATTCTCACCATAGTGTCCCTTATTCACACTAAGAGAGGTCCGGGATTTGTCACTGCCTCTCTGCATGAAGCAAACCATCAGCAGATGGATGCGGAGAATGAGTTAACCAATTCTGATGGATGTATTCAGTCAGCAGACTCAGAAAAGACAAGAAAACATCCAAATTCAACAAAATGGACCTTGTGTCCTGTGTGCAAAATAATGCGACCCCCGCGTGCTGGACACTGCAGAACCTGTGGATTATGTGTTCAACGTCTGGACCACCACTGTGTCTGGTGGGTCTTAGTTATAATGGTTTAGATCCGTTTCTTGCTGATCTTCCCAAATAAGATGCTGGATCTAGTGAATGCTAGTGCCCAGGCTGCATACCTGCAGAAAAAAAAGGCTCACTTTTTCACACTTGGATATGTTACAGAATTATCAGAAAATGTGTGAGTTATCTGTTAGCAATACTGCATTTGGCATTTTAATGTTATTTAAAATACAGATTGAAAAAAAAAACACTTTTATTTGTTCAGTAATGCAAAGATGCAAGTTGCTTAGAATCCTGGTGAGAAAATAACTTAAGCTTATCTAAATTAGATAGAAGTTAACACTGTTCAGATTAGAGATAAATATGCTTTGCCACTTTAGAAACATACATTTTATTTGATTGAAAATTTATATGGAGAAAAACTCAAAGTGGAAAGAACAAACACATTTGAAAATGTGACATAATTAGTACTCCTCCTTCCTAACCTTTCACAATAGGACCAACTTATATATCAACCAGCTTTGGGGCTGGGCAATATAGTTTAAAAATTAAATCTAAGCCTTTCTCACACCAGATTAGATTTGTATCTTTGAATGTCTTTTTGTTTTATAAAAAACAAATTACAAATGACAAAAATGGCTTTTAAAAACTTGCCATATCTAAATCATTTTCTCTTGTTGACTATAATTCAAAGAACAACTAAATTCAAGTTGTGAAACATGGTTATAAAACAAGTTAATAAACCTCCCTCCCCAGTCCTCTTTCACAACCAGATGTTTGATCTAAATTTAGCTCCATCCATCTTCCGATCAACTCTGTCCTGCTTCTATATCCTTGCAGAGCAGAAGTTATCCTACAGCATGATGCTCCCACACCATTTCATTATAAATATATTACATTTATTCTTTAATTCATGGATGAATTGAGCAGTTTTTAATTCACACAAATCTTTAAATTTTGGGACTTTTTACTTTTGAGGATTTGGCTGATGTGGTCAACCTTCTTAGCTTTGGTGAGGGTGCAGACAGCAGAATTCGGAATCAGCTGCAGCTACATGATCCATTCTTCAGGGAGGCCTGTGAATATACCATCAATTAATTCTACTAATAATGAACTCTTTAAGTATTCAAGGTCCTGTTGAGACGTAAGACCTTTAATCTTAGAAATGTTCTTTGGGTCACAGGAGGATGACTTTTTTACTGATATTATGAATCTTTAAAGGTTCAGGTCTGAATCCATCACCACACCGATTTAGAGCCTGACTGTCTGGAATTTGGTCTGGAATATTAGTGATAACTTTTAAATGCTTTTTATTTGGTGCAAAAAATATTTCTTCAGTTTTATTTTGCTTCAACTAAATAAAATATTGGCACATTTGTGCATTTAGAATTTTTTATTCAATTATTTACCAAGTGCCTGAAAAGGTCAAAAGTCACATGGTCACATCGTAATATACAGCTGTGTGTCGTCTGCATAGTTATGGTAACTTGTGTTGTTCTTTATTAAGATCTAAGTCAGGGGGAGCATGTAGATATTAAATAAAAGTCTGCTTGGCCTAAATGAAAAATGAAACACTTTAATAGAAAACCAACTCTATTAGAGTTTTTTCAACACTTATGCTATCTGAAGGTGGTGGGGAAGAAGCTGTTTTAGAATTTGCTGGACTTGCATTGAATCCTGCAAAGCCTCTTCCCATGGGGCAGCAAGGAGAACAGTCCATGGTGGGGGTGTGAGGGGTCATTGATGATGTTATGGGATTGGGGCACGCAGCGCTGGGATGAAGTGTCTTTTATGGAGGGAAGAGGACACTGACTAGAGTACTCTCTTATATTAAAAACGAAAACAAATCCCTTTTTTCATGACAATCTTCTATAAGGGTCAGATTTATGGTCTGCATTCCTAATACTTTTCTTAGAAGACAACCTTCCTGATCTGTGGGTCTCTGAAGCTGCTTCTGAGTTACTTTGGGCAAACATCTGACACCTTGACAAATTAATAGCATTTATACTGAGATTTTGAGATTGAGTAACAAACTCTTGGATTGGGTTTATTAATCAAGGGCTTTAAATTAAATCGGTTGCTCTTAGTTCATATGGGGACAGAATTGAATTGAAATTGATGCCACACTTTTCTTTATTGAAGAGCTTTGAAAACGATGGATTATTTTAGCTTTTAATTATTCACTAAGTTTGGTAAATCAAAGCTTCTGACTGTAACATGAGAAAATGTGAAATAAAATTTTAGGTGCATTTTTCTCTCCATCAACTGACTCGTCTGCCGTCTGTGTTGCATGTTGAGATGCTGCAGGATAAACAGCTGCGTGGGACAAGCAAATCACCGCAGCTTCCTGCAGACCCTCTGTGTGTTTGTGCTGACTGCCGTGTACGGGATCAGTTTGGTGCTCCGCAGCCTCTGTCCTCGTCAGTATCTGATGACGGCCCTCTTCTACTGCCCCGGCGTCTACAGCCAGCCCAGGTGCTGCAGCCCTTTTAAAAACTGTCTGCAGGAGAATATCGACAAACTTGAAATATTAATGTTTTATCAAGAAAAAGATGCATTTGGAGCAGAAGTCTACTCTGCGATTGACTTTTAAGTTTTTAACATCTTTTTTTTTTTTTTATAAGCTGTGTGTGTTATATGACATGTAGTGATGTGTTTGCTCCATGTGTGTTTACAGCACGGCCCTTTGCTTCACCTGCTGTTGGTACAGCAGCATTATCACTGTTGGATTGATCTACCTTCTGGTGGCTCAGGTTGTGAACATCAGCTTCAATGTGACTGGGCGGGAGGCTCAGCTGGCTGTGAGGAACAAAAAGGGCCAAAGCCGTCTGTGGGGACTCGTCATCGACACTGGGGAGTATTCACGTGGCTTCTATCAAAACTGGGTTGAGTTCCTCACCATGACAGATTCTTTTATGTCATTTCACTCCAGTCCCACAGACTTAGTCTAGTTAGTCTTTCTTTCTAACACATTTCACATCAGCTCTACACTGGACCTTGAGCCCACTGCTGTGGCATATGAACCTGACAACAGTTTTAGTTAAAAAAAATAAAATAAAAGCTTGCAGTGGAAATGTAAAGGTTCTTTTCTTTTAAAGAAAAAAAAAGCACTGATTGATGCATGTTTTAGAGTTAGAACTTGCTGCACAATTATTTTCCTCATGATTGCCATTCAGTTTAATACAATTTTGTTAATCCTAAGGGGAATCTATAATAGCTGTAGGTAGGAGGGATTTTCTGTATCAGTCTGTGTTGCACCGGATCTGGAGAAGCCTCTGACTGAACACACTCTATTATTGTTTACGTAACAATCTTCTCAGATGGTTTTCCTTACATCGGAAACCTTGAACACTTTGACTGTATCATCTGATTGAATCATCTCAGTAAAGTGCCTCCAGGTGACATTTTGGAAATTGGAGCTTTAAAAATAAACTGAATTCAATAGAAGAAATAATATAAAGGTGAATTTATAGGAATTCTTGAAAAGGTACAAGTCCTATTATTTAACATTTATACCATTCAATTATTAAATGAAGCTCTCAGTTAATAAAAATACCCTTTAGTAGTAAATGGGGCCAATCATATATAAAGAGAGAGAGTAGAGTGTATGAATAATGATTCCTTTCTGCATTATTTAACATCCATTTTCCTTTTGATCCAGAATTTTGCCTCATGCTTCCATCCATCCTTTCTCTTTTTAACCTTTTTGATTTCTTGTCAAAACAGTTTATTAATAACTTATTTGCTCGATAGATATTTCCCCTTAATTTACCAATGAGTTCATCATTTATTGTCTCTTCCACTTACCTCAGCAGATATGAAAAAGACTGAATAGTCTGTCCTCTGCTGCCCTCCTCAGGCCACTTCTGTTCTTCCAATAAAAATTCTCAGGAACTGTCCTACAGCAAGGAACAGCGTATCACCAAAGTGAATACACCCCTCACATTCCTGCAGGTACTTAAGTACCGTATATCTTTTCATGGGGCAACACTGAATACGCATCACTTTAAAACAAAGAGAAATAGTCTTTGTGCAGCTTATACAAAAGTCTAAATGTATTTCCTCAAAACAACAAAAACATTTGGCCATTAATAGCCAAAACCCTGGAAACAAAAGTGAGTACACCCCTTGGTGAAAGTTCCTAATGTGTCCATATTTTGTGTAACCACCGAGTTTACCCGAGCTTCCATCACCTTTACCTGCAGTCTCTTCAGGAAAGCAGTGGTTATCCTAAAGATGTGTTTGGGGTCATGCTAGAACACTGCTCAGCGGCCCACTTTCTGAAGGGAGGGGATGCTACTCTGCTTCAGTATTTCATAGTACATGTTTGAGTTCATGTTTCCCTCAATGAAATGTAACACCCCAACACCTGCTGCACTCATGCAGTCCCAGACCATCACATTCCCACCACCATGCTCGACTGTAGGCATGATACACTTATCTTTGAACTCCTCACCTGGTTGTTGCAACACATGCTTGAGACCACCTTAACCAAACATAATCTTGATTTTATGAGATTTTAGGACATAGTTCCAGTAATCCATTTGCTGACTTTAGGACATGTTTACAAGCTTTCTTGCGTACAGATTTCAGAAGAGGCTTCCTTTTGTGGTGACAGCCATACAGACCAATTTTATGAAGTGTGCGGCATATAGTCTGAGCACTGACAAGCATAAACCTCAACTATTCAATCTCTGCAACATTGCAAACAGTGATCCTGAACCTATCAAAGACAGCATTTAATCTTGGCCCCGGTGCTCCAGTTTCAGGGTGTTGGCAATATAGCACAGCCATCTCGTGCAACAATTCCTCTTTAAAGTTCATTGCCACATTGGAACTGCTAGTGACCAATATGCGAAAGTGGGAGAGCTGTACTAGAAAACTGAACACACCTGCTACCTATGCATGACACATTAACTAGTCACATGAAATGTTAAAAAGAAAAGGACAAATGGTGCCCAGTTTGACATTCGGGGGTGTAGTTTCTTCAGGGTTTACTGACTTTTGTTGCTAGTGGTTTGGATATAAATAGCTGTTTATTGCATTCATTCGAGGAAACAATGCATTTTTACTCTTATTTAAGCTGCACACACACTAGTTTCCTTTGCTATCAAGTGACATTTCTTTTCCCATAAAAAGATTTACTTCAGTATCTGCAGAAATGTGAAGGGTGGAATAACTTTTATGATACACTGTACATACAAAAGCTGTAAGCAATTTTCTATTCTATACTTATAAACAGACACATACTAACCGTTTTTTTCTAAGTGCCTGACACTAAATCAGACTAGACTTATGCTGCTTTTTGGTCTTTAAATCAAGAGGAACAAACTTGCTAAATGCAAAATAACAACTAAGTGAGCATTATAATTCCACAAGCTTACATGCTATTCCATTAAAAGTTTTGAGGAAACCAAATATGGTTGTGCAGTAATATAGCTTGCGCTTTATGTTCTTTTCATTAGGCTTGACAACAAGAGTAGCATCCATTTGTCCAACTCTATGATGGTGGAGGGATGAGGGCAACAGGTCCAATAGGGCAATGTGAATGCTGCCTGAGCACAGACCATAAGAATGAACCCAGAGCTTGTTGCCATGAACTGGTTTTAAAAACTGGGAAGGAAAGACAGGATGGCCCTTCTAAATTCCCTTGACAAAGAAAATGTATTTCTAATTTTCTCCAAAAGCAACCGCTTCTGTTCACGACAGTAAATGCCGTTGTGAGGCAGTCTGTTGCAGCTGCAAGGTTTTGCAAGAGTCAGCTTTCATAACTGCAGTTACATAACTTTTTGTTTTTGGCACAATCTCTAATTATTTTGCTTTTTATATTGCACAGCACACATGTTTAAACTGGTAAGGCACACATGCGCAAAGACTCTGAATTCCTGTTGTTTGTTGTGCATTCATAGCCCTGGAACAAAATCCTGGGGGAAAAAAAGTCTTTCATTTTTTTGGACACAGAAGTAACATAAGATGACTTAAGAATGTTTCCTATTTTCCTAATTCATATGGATGAAATAGCCTTTTGTGTTTATTATTTTTTTTATGTTTTATCATTTGATTGATCGTCTGTGCCTTCTAATATGATTATGTCTAAACTTGATATTCCTAGAAAGGTTGACGCCTTCTGGGAGTTCTCAGTGGCCTGATCTCTATGTTTTTGCAGCTACTTGTTTTTAACTGCCCTGAAAATATCTTCAGTGAAATGCAGCTGTTTGGTAATTAAGGGTCTGCTAGATTTCTTTTGTTATTATTATTTTTTTTTTTTTGCAAAGCAGCCATTTCTCTAAATTTCCATTAAAACCTTCTAATTTATTTGATATACTAGTATTGTGTAAAAGACAATCTGAGGCTTCCCTCTAGCCTTTTGAGTATTTGCAATAATTGCTACTGCTACTTCACAGATGGTTGCATCGGTGAAACATAGCCTATTTTATTTTTTTGCATTTATAGCTACATTGTTTTTTTTCTTCCACTTCATAAATCAATTCCCATTGATTCAATCTTTAACAATCTAATTCTATAGAAAAAAAAATGAAAAAAATAAACCACATCTTCATCTTTAAGATATGCATTTACTTTAAATTCATGACTATAGTTAACAGGTGGTGTATTATTATTATTATTATTGTTTTTTTTTTTTTTTTTCAAATAATGCTGCTTTTGATTTAAATGCCTGATGCCTGTAGGATCTTTGGAATAAAATCATCAAATCCTATTTGGGTTGTTTTTTGTGAGTTAATACCAATGTAAATTAGTATTAAATCAGATTTCAAAATTAAATTGTAAGGACTTTGTATCTTGACAGACTTTTTGATTACTGCAATCATCATATTGCCATCCAATTAAATGGTTAGAAATTGTATGAAGATAAAGCTGGTGATTTGCACCCCAAAAGAAAGCTATTCTTGCAGCTCAGTCTCCTCTCTTCACTTTTCAATTGTTGTGGACTAGTTTGTTGACCTGTCCTCCTCTTGTTGATGAAGGTGCTTACATGGCCTCTGCTGCCGTCGTCTGTGCAATATGTTAGGGTTTTTTTTCTGTGTTTTTTGCTCCTCTGTCTTTGCTTCATGGTCTCAGCATAGGGTCGCCCACTGACATGTACCACCCACAAACTCTTTCTTTCGTTTTAAAAAGAAAAGGAAAGTGATGGCTGATTTCCAATCACATGTAAAGCCACCTTTTGCTGCAGAGAAAAATGTTGGTTCTTTTGGACCATGTCTCTCTGAGACTGACACATCTAGAGATTTAAATTTTTCTCATATTCCAAGAAAAAGTTTGGTTAGATTGGATTAAATGTGTCCCTGAACATTCATTCATTCATTCATTCATTCATTCAGTCATTCATTCAAGTCTTACCAGATAATTCAGGTTGAATTTAGGTCTAAGCTCTAACTGGGTCACTCGGACACGTAAATAAGCTTGAACAGAAACCAGACTCTGGGATCTCTGGCTGAACGTTTAAGTTCATGGTCTTGGTGGAAGGTAGACCTCCTCACCAATCTGAAGTATTATACAGCCTTTTACAGGTTTTCCTCCAGGACTGCCCTTCATATAGCTTCATCTTCGCCGTTTGTCTTAGGAAATGCTTCCAGACAGCATGATGATGTTCAAGGTGCTAGGTAGTTTTTGTTTTTTTCCTGACACATATTGATGCATATAATTCTAGTATCAGAGTCGAGAATTTATTTATCGACAAAAAGGTATTAAATTTTTCTTGCACTTCACTTTGCAATATGACACTTTGTGCAAAAAATAAAAAACAACAATCCCAAGAAAGTGCAGAGATTTTAGTTTTACATTACATAAAGTTGAACACCTCACAGAGTATTAACACACTTGCAAGGCATCCTGTTTGATTGGACTGTATAAGAATGAATTTAAATGGTTGGAGCAGAATTTAATCCATATACATGGACATGAATTAAACTTCTTTATTCTTTTTTGCAGAACAATGATAATATATTTTCTGTGATTTAAGGCTGTATGAATAAACTTATCTGAGCAAAGAAAAAACTGAAAGTATTGTTTTGTGCAAAGCCAAAGCCATGTAAACAGCTCAATAATTTTTCATGGTTTTGTTTACTTAGTCTTATGAAGTGTATTTTAAATGTAGAAAATGTGTGCTGTAAACCCTTTTCGTTCATGCAGACACATTTAAATGTTCCTGCTGACAATGAAATCAACATTGGTGGCTTTTTGGCCACAGCCCTTTTCTTCTCTTTACATCCTTTAAACACTCAAAAAAAAAATTTTCTTAAACATTTTTGGTTTCTGTAATGAAACTGTTATAAATAATGATTTAGTATGGATCAATTTCCTTTATATATATATATATATATATATACACTCACCGGCCACTTTATTAGGTACACCTGTCCAACTGCTTGTTAACACTTAATTTCTAAGCAGCCAATCACATGGCGGCAACTCAGTGCATTTAAGCATGTAGACATGGTCAAGACAATCTCCTGCAGTTCAAACCGAGCATCAGTATGGGGAAGAAAGGTGATTTGAGTGACTTTGGTGGACTTTTGGCATGATTGTTGGTGCCAGAAGGGCTGGTCTGAGTATTTCAGAAACTGCTGATCTACTGGGATTTTCACGCACAACCATCTCTAGGGTTTACAGAGAACGGTCCGAAGAAGAAAAAACATCCAGTGAGCGGCAGTTCTGTGGGCGGAAATGCCTTGTTGATGCCAGAGGTCAGAGGAGAATGGCCAGACTGGTTCGAGCTGATAGAAGGCAACAGTGACTCAAATAACCACCCGTTACAACCAAGGTGGGCAGAAGAGCATCTCTGAATGCACAGTACGTCGAACTTTGAGGCAGATGGGCTACAGCAGCAGAAGACCACACCGGGTGCCACTCCTTTCAGCTAAGAACAGGAAACTGAGGCTACAATTTGCACAAGCTCATCGAAATTGGACAATAGAAGATTGGAAAAACGTTGCCTGGTCTGATGAGTCTCGATTTCTGCTGTGACATTCGGATGGTAGGGTCAGAATTTGGCGTCTACAACATGAAAGCATGGATCCATCCTGCCTTGTATCAACGGTTCAGGCTGCTGGTGGTGGTCTCATGTTGTGGGGAATATTTTCTTGGCACTCTTTGGGCCCCTTGGTACCAATTGAGCATCGTTGCAACGCCACAGCCTACCTGAGTATTGTTGCTGACCATGTCCATCCCTTTATGACCACAATGTACCCAACTTCTGATGGCTACTTTCAGCAGGATAATGCGCCATGTCATAAAGCTGGAATCATCTCAGACTGGTTTCTTGAACATGACAATGAGTTCACTGTACTCAAATGGCCTCCACAGTCACCAGATCTCAATCCAATAGAGCATCTTTGGGATGTGGTGGAACGGGAGATTCGCATCATGGATGTGCAGCCGACAAATCTGCGGCAACTGTGTGATGCCATCATGTCAATATGGACCAAACTCCCTGAGGAATGCTTCCAGCACCTTGTTGAATCTATGCCACGAAGAATTGAGGCAGTTCTGAAGGCAACCCGTTACTAGCACGGGGTACCTAATAAAGTGGCCGGTGAGTGTATATATATAAAAAATTTATATAAATTGCTTTAAGAATCTTTGTCTGTTTATTATTCAAATGAATAGTGAAGTCATCTTTTACTGGATTTTAAACCCAAAAATAAACATTAATGCTCCTCAACTGTCCACCTCAGCTCAGCACAAGTTGAGGCATCATTAGGAATCAGTTTGCATGAGCAGGTTTGTTTGTCTGCCTCACAACTGCTGACAGACGAGTTTGATTCAATGGTCCCAGCCAGAGAAAGCACTGGAGGACAGGCTTGTTTACCAATCCTGGGTGGGGGTTTTTTCCTTCCTTTTTTGACACATAACTCAACTAAATAATACTTCTACAGTTTAACTGAGGGTAAATGAACATGTTGGTGCTTGTCTACCCCATAACCCCCTACAGCTATGTCCTAACCTTGGGGTTGTAAATCTGTACATGTGTTTGCCTGAAGCTTCACGTGTTTGAACCCAGCCCAGGGTTTGTGCATGTGTGTGTGGATGATGGAGATGAAAAGGTACACCCCCCCCCCCTCTCTGCTATATAAGCAATCATCAGGCAGATTGTTCAACATCAGCCCTGCAGACCTTCATCCAGCCTCCAGGAATCATACCATCTCTTCAGCAGCCATGAGTCCACTGCTCGTCCTGCTGGGAGCCACGCTCTGCGCCCTGACGATGTCTAGTGAAGTAGTGCCTCAGGCAGACTTCAACTTACAGGGGGTGAGAGACGTTACACTATCAACTATTTTTATACAAATTATCAATACAGAATGTTTTATAAAAACACTCTAAAGGTGTTACTGCAAAGATCTGCAGGTTGATCTTCTGTATTATGTATATGTAATAGTAATATTTTAGATTTCTTTTGGAATTAATCAGTTTTATATTCTTTTCTCTCTTTTTTTACTCAAGACATAATAATAATAAAAAAAAATTATTCTGAAAGTACTTCATACAATTATCAGCCAGGAAACTTATGACATTTTTTTTTCTTTTATCAAAAATCAGATCAAAGCTTCCAAATATTCTATGCATCAATGAATGTTTGAAAGCACAAAGTTCCCAAAAAAAATAAAAGAAAAACACATTATTCAGTGTTTACTTCTGTGTTATTGATTGATTCAAGCACAGATTTATGACATTTATCACTAATTTAATATTTAGTTAATAAAAAGTTCATGGGGGGGCACTGAAACTATTCCAGTCAGTGTTATTGGTCTTAAATCAATTTGTGATTGTTACCCAGTTCAGTGTTGGGGGTAAATTAACAAGCTGGACTGATGATAAAACAAATATATAATTTGATGTCATTCTGCACTGCAGAACAAGACACATGAAATAAAAAAAAAAGTAATTACGTAGGCTTTAATGCAATGCCTTAAATTTTAATAACTGGTATTCAAAGTAGGTTGTAAACATTTTAGAATAAATATAGATATGATTTAACTTCTAAATATATATATAAATATAAAAATATTGCATTTAAATATAACGATAATAGATTAATAATCCCATTGATAATGGAATATGTATAAATTATGTCAAATTCACATATATGTGTTTCCCTAATGCTCCTTTTTTTATGGAACATTTCAATAATTTTAAACTTCTCTAAACATTTTTTTATTCAACATTAATTAAATAATTATTCTATCGTCTATCTGGCACAGCTGAAGCAGAACTTTATATATAGTTTAAAAACTTTAAATACACCTTATGGTTAAATGTTATTTAGAAAAAGGTCATTATTTGTATTAACTGACACATTTATGAATAATTAATACATATAAAACATGCATAGTATTCAATTTATTACACTGTCATTAGACAGTAAGTTTCATTCATAAAAATCTCAAAGTGTATTCTGCCTAATTTGTTATTCAGAAACACCAATGCACTTTGGGGGCTCCCAGCTGGCCCCTGGGGGCTTTAGGAATGACTTTTATTTTATGTCTTAGGCCAACTCTGTTTAGGGGTAATATTAATGGAGAACCCAAAAAATTCAACCTAGTGATGCACAAAAGCAATTGACCACTGTCTAAAGGCAAAAAAAACATCTTAAGGTTATTTAGTATCCTGCTTTTACCGTTTGTCTCCATAGATAGCAGGGAAGTGGTACCTTATCGGATTTGCAACCAACGCCCAGTGGTTCGTGAAACGCAAAGCTACAATGAAAATGGGCACTGCCATGCTAAACCCAACTGCAGAGGGAGACTTGGATATTTCATACGCCAGTCTCAGGTAAGTGTGAGTGAACAGAGAGCTGAATTTAGAAAGTAAAAGATGATTAAGTTTTAATTTCTTTGCAGCTCTGATGGTTCTTGCTGGAGAAAGAACAGCCTGGCCAAGAAGACAGACACGCCTGGGAGGTTTACATACACTTGTCAGCGTAAGTGCAATGTGCACGCCAATGTAACATGGTATGAACAGCCCCATATTAACCCATTGTTGGTTTCAGGTTGGGGGAGTGAGAACGACATGCGTGTGGTGGATGTCAACTATGAACAGTATGCACTGATCTACACCACAAAAAAGAAGGCTGGAGAGCTCACCACTGTCACCAAACTTTACGGTACAGTTTTGATTCTATAGCCACGTTTCATGTTCCTTTTAGCAGCAGATTAATCTATTCTGCAAATCCAGGCCGTGAAGAGGAAGTTGGAGCTGAGGTGATGGAGAAATTCAGACAGATGTCCTTGGAGGCCGGCGCTCTGCCTGAAAACATTGTTTTCCTTCCTAAACAACGTAGGTTTACATAACTGAAGGTTCTTTTTTTTGGTCCCAAAATATTAAAGCCATGGAAAAAACTAATTAACTTCATCTACTTTGCATTCTTCAGCTGAGTGCCCAGCTGCCTAATTTTCCTTCTCCGCTCATCATGTCAGAGATGCAAGCTGCAGATCGTCAGCATTACTGTGGAAAGATTCATCCAGCATATCTACTTGCATAAAAATCTTCAACCACTCTGCTTTTCCATTTACCTTTGCACAAACTTTGAACTCTGCTGGCAAAATAAAACAACATTTAAAATACTTTGTTTTATTATCATTTTTTAACAAATACGCAGACGTACATCCATAACAACACAGTTCGGATTTCCTTTTCATCAAGTGTTTACATCTACACGCTTTGTACAGGTCTGTATACAAAACAATAATTTACGTCCCATAGAAGTCTAGTTACACTTAACTATACAACGAGTTGTAAGTGAAATAAATATAAAAACAGAAATGATCACAGGTGTTGAAAGATCTTGAAAAGCCATAATATGCGTACACCACCAGCATCTGAAATTTGCATCTAGAAAGAGATACATCTTCCCTTTTCTACTAGCAAAAGTAGATCTGATGGTAGAGAACAGTTCAGTCCATAGTTCCATGTTCTGAAGCACCACATGTAGGATTCCCAACATTTAGACATTTCACTCAAATCATCTTTAAAAATATCTGGTTTCTCTCCTTTGTGAGAATTCATGGATTCGAAAAACAGTAATTTTGGGCTTCTCCAATAGATGCAAACAATTACAGACAAACAGAAATATCGGACATAAAGTAAAGCATTGATTGCACATCAATTTATGTGAATATGAGAGCAAACAAATCGCTTCCATACTGTGTCCACTTCTTTTACAGGTAAATGTTAAGATTGTGAGGGACTCCTGAAGCCCAGAATGATTTTTTTTCTATTATTTGACGCCCTTCTGTTTTTTGTTACCACAACAAAAGCATTATGTTACATATTGGCGGGTTTAAAGCACCAGAAGGCAACAAAAAAAGGAGATTTTCTAAGTCTTCCTTCTCTTTCCCCCAAACAAACAAACAAACTCAATTTCACAAGTGCTACTTAGTACATGTGGCAAACCAAATCTCTGTGGTGTTCAATGCATATTTTAACACAAACATTTTGAAAAAATTACACTTTGATTTTAAGACAAATAATGTGGACCGACTTTAACTGAGAACTGATTGCGACTTGCCAAATCCAAAAAGAAGTTTTACAAAGAGACAAACTGCCATGCACACAGTCACCAGCAGGGGACATGCAGTTAAAAAGTGCAAGTCTATGAAGAAGGGAGGGAGGGAGGGAGCCAACAATGTCAGAGACTTAATGGTATGTACATGGGTATACATCTGCTAAGAAACAAGAGGATCAGAACGAGCTAAAAACAACAGATTGGACTAAAGTAGAGTAAAACCACCAGACTGTTTCTGACACTGTGAAAGGACTCGGTTGGGTGATGTAGGTTTTTTTTTATGTTGGTCATTGTTCTGGCACAGTATTTGGCTCCGTCAGAGTCACTCTGCCTGCACCACGTCCTTGTGGTGACGCATGATATGCTGGTTCTTTTCCGAAGGCCGTCGGAAACCTTTGGAACAGATCTCGCAGCGGTGAGGGTAGTCCTTTGTGTGAATGGAGATCACGTGGCGCTTAAAACCAGAAGCATCCCCGGTGCTGTAGTCGCAGTACTGGCACTGGTATATTCTTTTCTCTTTTTGTCCTTTGCCGATAACAACAGTCACACTGCTGGCTAGGCTGGCTGCACTGACCCTGGCAGGCGGGCCGGAGCCGCCCGACCCACTAGGTGCAGACTTTTTAGGTGCCGCAACGGGAGTTTGCACCTCTGTCCTTTTAACTTCACTCTTTTCAGGTGAGGCCTGCTGCTCTTTTGTGTGGACAGATAAAATGTGGCGGCTGAGAACGAAGGGGTCTGCGATTTTGAAGTTGCAGTGTCGGCACTGGTGGAGTTTCTTAGTGCGGTGAGAGACAGAGTGTTTCTTTAGTTCAGATGGCCGATGGAAGCCCTTCCCGCACACAGCACATTTATGTGGATAGTCCTTGGTATGAACAGATATGATATGACGTTTCAGGTCGCTGGAGTTAGAGCTTTTGTGATCACAGTGGGCACAATGGTGGGTCTTATTTTCCTCGTGAGTCAGTCCGTGCTGCATCAACTCCTCCTCCTCTGCAAACGTCTGGAAACAGCGCTCACACTTGTACGGCATCTCTTTGCTATGCTTAGTCTTGATGTGTGTTTTAAGATTAGACGAATCGGCTGACTTGTAGTCGCAGTACATACAGGAGTAAGGCTTCTCACCAGTGTGCGTGCGCATGTGTTTCTTCAGCTCCGAAGGATGCCGAAAACCCTTCCCACACTCCACACAGATGTGAGGGAAACTTTTGCTGTGGACGGCCAACAAGTGTCGATTGAGCAGACCCTGCTCCGCAGTTTCATAGTCACAGAACTTGCACTTGTGCATCTTAGTGGGTGGAGGAGGCGGCTGGGCTTTGGGCTCCCTGTGGTGGTGCTGCAGCCTGTGTGAGAACAGAGCCCCCTGCTGGTGGAACTCCTTACCACACATTTCACACTCGAAGGGAGCTTTGCTGCTCAGTGCATGAACCTCCATGTGATTGTGGAGGCTGGCCTTCTTGTTGGTGGTGAAGTCACAGTCTGTACACTGGTACTTTTTACGGGTCAGGACATCCTGGTGGTGATTCTTAGTGTGTCGCTTCAGGAAACCCCTCGACTTGAACTTCTTACCACAAAGCATGCAGGGATAAACTGTCAGCGGCTGGCCGTACGGACCGATGATGATGGCTGGAAAGAAAAACAAAAAAACATTGTCATTTTCTTCTTTAGTTAAGTCCCAACAAAAAAAAAAAAAAAATTTTTTTTTTTGCTGGGTCAATTACCTAATTTCCAATAAATTGAAATACATTTTATGTTTATATTGTCACAGTTCTAAAGATAAAGGAGCCAAAACGTTGCAGGTAAATGTATATTTAGTTGTTTGCAAATCTTTCTTTTTTTAACCTCTTAATATCCACCTCATTTTGGGAAATTCTTGCCTATTTTGCATACCCAAATGGAAAAGCAATTAACTTAGGACATGTAAGCCCAAATTACATGTGTGATACATTATTTGAAACCAAACACCTTTTAGTTTCTGAATATATACATAAAAATTGGGTCAGTTAAACACCCAAGCTGCATCAAGCTCAAGCTGCATCAGTTCAAACAAGACTTTTTTTTTCTTCTCAAAAATAATGTCTGTTTTGAACAGCAGTTGTAAAGACATGCTTGCTTGTTGCGGCTGCTTTGTAATGTTTACATTTTGACATGCTGCTATATCTGTATTAAATGTTATTTGGTGCTCGCCATTTTCATAACTTTTCATGAATAGTGGAGAATCTAAGCTTTCCAACGATGTCTAAGATGTCTCTAATGTTAAACATTTTATCAGTGTAATTTTCATGCATTCTGAGTTATTATGTGTAAACGCTTTAAAACGGTGGGTTTTTAGAGGTTAAATATATGCACAGTAAATGAATAGTGAAGGAACATTTATTGAAACTGTGATACCTGTTGCATACATTGATAAAGGCTGCAGCTATCAATTTTAGTAATTAATCAACCCTAGCTTTTAATTTCTTTCATTTAAAAGGACACACATTAAATAGTGCACATTTTAAATGCATTGCAAACCTTAAAACACTATTTGCAGAACAAGTAAATTTAATCAATCTATTAGGGATGGGCAATATATCATGATGTTTTTTAAGCTAAGATAAAAAAAAAAGTTAATGTTTGTATCAAGATGGCCCATTTTACAACTTTTATGAATACTGGTGGGTTATTTTTCAGGCATTTCCAACATGATCTCATGTTTAGCTACAGTTGTTTGTTAGAAAACATTCTAGTGAGAGACTTGGGACAAACCTTTAGGTCATAGGTGTGTTATTTAATTACCTTCTTAGCAAGCAGCCAAGTTCTGCAAAGTCCTGATTCAGATGTGTTAATATCTGAAAGGTGCGGGCCACCAGCCCTAAAGGACTGCAGTTTTACACCCCTGGATTAAACGTTAAGGCGTGAACACACCGGCTGCGTGCGATTTTTTTTTTTTTTTTATCTCTGACCAGATTTTTCTTCTATGTCACACTGACTGCGTACAGAGAGGTTTCGACTAGGCAGGGTGGGCACATGTGCACAGATATTTTTCCCTTCTGTCTCTGCTATACACCAATTAAAACAATTTCCCACATTTGACTTGGACGGATTATGAAAGTTATAAAAAATAAAATAAAAACCACCGGCACAGCTATAAAGTAAAGCCCCACTTACTGAGTCTGTGCAGCATGTCAGAACAGATCAGATACAGAATACAAAAAAAAAAATCCTATATTAAAAACATAATGAGGTCTAGGTCTAAAGAAAAGAAAAAAAAAGACAGCAAGAAACGCTGTGGGGCTGTTTATATGTTTACTGAGGCAGACAGCTGATTATCAGAGAGATAGCTGAATGTTTTTCTTTTTTTCATAAAAAGGAGAGAGATACACCGTGCTTACCTGATCTGTCTCCCCCTTGTTAAGTTGTTTTTTTTATGAGGCTCAAAGAGGATTACTATTTTACTCTATGGGTTTTTTTCTCCTCCCGCTTTTTTTTTTTTTTTTTTTTTTTTTTTTTTTTTTTTTTTAAGGCGAGTGATAAATTGTGCTTTCTGTTCCTCGTTTTTTCCAAGGCTCAAAGAGGATCCCTATCAGTTTTCTGTTCTCCTGAACTCCTATCATGGGTATTCTTTTTTAATGCTGAATTGTTTATGCACGAGTCTCCAAACTGACTATTTCCCCATGTGATTAACAGACTCAATTTAGCATTTTCCCCCAAAGCCGGTGTGTTTTACTTTATAAACATGTCTCATTTCCTGTCGGGCCCATTAAATTGCTGCTGAATTACTGCGTAGTCTGACTGAAATAGACCTGGGGTCTATCTCAGTCGGACCTACTGGGCCCCCTTGCATCAAATCGTGTTGGGTGGGATCATTCCCAGTGGCTTCCAATGAGCCACAACCTTGTCCGACAGGATTTTCTGTTGGATCGGACGCAAAATCGGATTCGGTGTGTTCTGACCTTAAAGCACGTTTCCACAGGAATATAGAGTAGTGGGAGTGATCTTCTCTGAAGAGAAACGGGGATAGAGAGTCGGGGGGAATGCCTCTCTTCCAAATGTGATCTCACAAAAATGGTAAGAAAAAAAAATTCCAAAAAACAAAAAAAAACAGGCAGGCTACTTTTACTCAACTGAACACATGTAAGCATTTTGAGTTAGGGCAAATTATTTCAATTCCTAATATCACTAAATGTCCACAAGTTTAAAAGGCAACATAAGGACATAAAAAAATAAATAAATAAATAATAATCAGGGTGTGCTAGAGATATTATCCTCTTCAGGATGCTTTTTTTTTTATACCTGTCTGGACCTGCCGATGTTCTGATCGTCTCTTATTCTTGGTGCGTTGCCTATTGATTTCATCGACCCCGTCTGATTCATCGATGTGTAGCAGCGCACTGGCTGCACCGTTTCGGTTTTCACAGCCCTCGCTGTCCTCTATACCTTAAAGACACACAAAACATAGTTGTTGTTTTTTTTGCCAAATCAAAAAAGCAAAGGTTATTGTTCTTAATACGCCATTTAGATTTCAAGCTAACTGGATCCAGCAAACTCACCATGGTTTCCTTGATTGTGGTGTGAATCCCCGACAGACATGTAAACCATCTTCTCTCTGAGAGTTTGGCCCGTAGATTCTGTTAGTGCAACGCTCTCTGCATCTCCATCACTGATGTCAACCGATTCTCCTGTAAAGGGAAATATTTTCATTATAAGTTATAATATTTTGATTTTTAAGAAAACACCAACAAGGAAAAAAAAAAAGAAAAAAGCTTGACTCATACCCATGTCGTCCTCTCCTGAATCAGCCTTGAAGATGTACACTTTAATCACCTCTTGTCCGTCTTCATCCTTCTCCACCTCCTGATCCTCCACAGCTCCTTCCACAGTTACCTCTGTTCCATCCTCAGACACCATTTTCCCAGCTTCATCCACTAGTTACATAATGAATACAAAATAAACGAATGAATATCAAACTTTAAAAATAGTGAACCATTTATTTTATTCCTTCCCATCAAAGGTCCAAAAAATTTGAAATATATAGCTCAATATGAGAACCTTATTTTTTTGTTTAATGTTTGATTTTAACTGATTTGTTAATTAGTAAAAAAATAAAAGAAACTACACTGGGAGTAATCGGATCTGAACATCAAAGAAGCCTGAAACACTATAACTATTAAATGCAAAGCAGAGAAGTAAACGTACAGGATATCATTAGATAGTCTCCACAGCCATCTTGGTCATCCTCCTGCTGCTCTGGGTCCAGACCATCTTCCGGGATGTCTCCCATGGCAACGCCTTCCTCTTCGCCCTCTAGAGCCATCACACAGGTTTCTACAGCAACATCTTCATCTTCATGCACATACTCAGAAACCACATCTTCAACTGCATCCTGGATGACTAGCTCCTCTGGGGCAAACCTGTGAACTGCCATGCCTTCACCCTCACCTTCTGACACCAACACAGTCTCTTGAAGCTCCACAACAAACTCCTGCCCACCGGCACCACCGTCATCTGGAAGAAGACAACCAGTTAGCAGGAGATCTACTTTTACATCCGGAAAAAAAGACTACAACAAAATAAACAATCATTAAAACATTATTCAAATCAAAAACTGCGAAACAAGCTTGTCCACTGACCCGATCCGTGTATTATTATTTTAGGCTCTTCAGCATGTATTGCAAGCCCGGTGACATCCTCATCCATTGTCCTCGTACTGCATTTGTTACTGAGGAGCTAAAAGCGAAACAAAAGGAGGTTAGATTTTAGCATGACAAAAATGTTTGGCTGAAAAAAAACAAAAACAAATTACCCGACAGTATCAGAAATTCTTTTAAAAAAATTTCACAACATCCTTTTTGAATACAAATGATTTATTCAAGCAGTACTGAATCCAATTTCCCCGGTTTAACAGGAGTTGTTCTGATTTGAAATGTCTACTGGCATGATTTTTTCACTTGCTAACGCATTTGCACATCAGGCAGAGCTCTGCTTAGACGCTGCAATGCCCAAAGTCGGTCCTTAAAGGAAGCCGTCCTGCAGGTTTTAGAGGTTTCCCCGCTTCAGCACAGCTGATTTCATTGATGGCTGATCAACAGGCTTTCGCTGAACTGCAATCATCAGAATCAGCCGTGCTAAAGCAGGGAAACCTTTAAAACCTGCAGGAGAGCAGCCCTCAAGGACTGACTTTGGGCATGCATGCTCTATGGGGTCAGGGCCCCCTTGAATATAACAATAGGAAAACACTGGTAATATTTCACAAAAATTATATGAGCTATCATGATCGTTATCCCCCAGAGGAGATATTATGAAGCAAGATTAGAGTTTCATTGAAGTAACTTTTGGTTTAATAGACACATTTCCACCAAGGCTTTTTAAGCGCATTTTGCATTATCGCATTTAAAGGGCTTGATTTAAAAAAAATAAATAAAATAAAATCTACTAAAGTTTTAAAATCCACTAGAGATGTTTTGTGTTTTATTTTAAAGACTAAATATGCTGAAAAGAAGATAGAAACATATTGGTGAAATAAGTTTCGATATGGCAAAGGTTTACCTCACATTTTCTCTCTTTACATCGCAGGTTTTAAAGAGGAGGTACCATAGCCTATACAAGCTGTTATGATAAAGTAATATTCAAATGGTTGGAAACGTGTAATTGAGATTTTCTACTCTTTTGACATATTAAAGGTTTCTTAAAAATTTGGATGACATCTGGATGGAAACATGGCTAATGATTGTCAACATATGGAAGATGATTCACTCCTGAATTTGTCTGTTTCTAAAAAAATGTACTCTGTCAACTATTGGGAAATTGTTCATCTGTCGGACAAGTATGTTTCTACATAAGGCCCCACACCAGATAAAAATACCACCGTGCAACCGACTGTCGTCAAAAAAATAAAACAACTCTACCAAATCCACTGATATGAATAAGGTAAATCTCTACCCCTTTTCTTTTTGCTTTTTACAGTCTATATGGATGAGAACTGAATGCATTGTAGTAAAAAAACAAAACAAAAGCAGACTTTAGTTTTGCTGCTTACATGCAATAAATGTCAAAAAAGGATTTAAGATTTTTATATTAAGAAAACCTTTCACTGCCATTTCTAACAGTATATGATATTTTAGCAACAGATTACATTCACACACCTGGTGTTGCATGTATTGGAATGCAACCTATAAAAAAGTTGTAAAACCTAAAATCATGGGTAAATTCAAAATTCTATTTTTTAATCATGCTCAGTAAATTGAGTTTTGTATTATTTCTCAGCTCAACGAAAAGACAAAAAAGAACGGCCGTTTCTAAAGATTACCAAGCAACACTGTCTGGACACGATCAGATTTAGGAGATCCAGAAACTAATGGCCAGAAAAAAAGCTACCCCGTCCTAAAAACTATTATTGGAAAACAGCCCATGAGAGAAAACCAAATATTGCATCAGAGTTATTTGTGATTTTAATATAAAAGGAAAAGGAAAATGCTGAAAAGCAAATGAAAACCCTAATCAATGATAAATATTACAGAATAAAATCTTCAGAAAAATTAAACAAAATTAGACATAAAACATGAGAGCTAAGCTGGTACATAAAGGATAAGTGGCAACACCTGGAAAGAGTCTGCAACTGAGCAGTTTATCGCTTTGAAACACAGGAGGCCTGATCTGTAGAAAGTTTGATCATCTTAAAAGGTAGAAACACATTTGCTCACACAAAGCAGATCTTCAGATGCAGATCAAAATCATTTGGGTTTGCGATTCAGCAAATGGGTGCAACCCTTTTTGTGCCTTCATCTATATGGAAAATCCAATTTGGAAAATCACCAGGAAAGTCAGGTGCAAACTGACACGCAAAAATATCTGTGGTCAATGTTGCCACAAAGAAGGCATTGGTGCATTGACAGGATGGAGAGTTGAGTTGTGATCATGTAAACATATTTGGACTGTCAGAAATAACAGCAGCACAATAAAATGACAGCAGACAATATTTAGACTATTTAACAAAAACAAAACAAAAAAGATTTTCACATAAAAAGAAAATGAAATATAATTATTTTCATTTTATTTTATTACTTTTGTTCATAACACTTACAGATAGCCTACTTGTATAAAGTGCTCTATAAATATTTAGTATTATAATATTTTTTTGTCATGATCTCCATCTGCACCGCTAAGAATTTAAATTTCTCAACTGCCTGTATTCACTCAATCTGATCATTGTAATCGTCCAGAACCAAACTGATTTGCTCCTCTTAATATTTACATAGCAACTTATTCGTACTGAAGATAAAACTCATGTATTGCTCATGTTGCTTTCCAATATATTTTTATATATATTTGAACTTTGTTTCATTGCAACTAACCATCGTTGTTTAAGAAAGAAAAGTTAACTAATAAAGTGTCAAGAGAACAAACATTGGTGATCTTGATTTCTATTTATCAAGCCAAACTTTATATTTAATATAGTATTTTTTTTAAACGATTTTGAAAAAAGGCTGTAAAATTGACACTAGCATTGCTAAGAGTAAAGAAATTCCAATAAACCGAAAAGTGGCTTTAATACAGACATGTCTCATTTGCAAAGGTGAGATCCTGAACTAAACAAAACGATCACTTCATTTCCTAAAGTAAATTTGACTAAGATGACCCTTAAACCCAGAAGTGTAATAATATTATTCACTGGGGAGAATATAAGATTAAAAAAATTTACAGAGTCACAATAAAAAAAAATAATAATAGAAAGCACAGAGATGTAAACAACAACAAAAAAAGGTGAAGCTGAGGTGCCAATTTCCTCTGAATGTACCATCCCCCACCTCTAGGTGGGCAGAAAAGATGACAACGCTATGAGGATGATAACAACAGGACATCACTCTGATTTTCAAATGCATAAACATCTATTAAATCTATTACACGACCCATTAGGTTCACTTTCTTGGTCTTGTATACGAGTCTAAGTCAACACAAAGCCATCTGAGATCAACCATGTCCAGCTGACCGCTAGGGCAACACCAAGCTGATTTCAAATGCAAATTCCGATTGTCAAAAAACAAATTTCTGATTTATAAAAGGTTGATTGCAATAACACAAAAGTATAATATAAGCAACGAACAGAAGTCAGACCAAGTGCTTTGTTTGCAATTGTATTCATGCAGAGATATACAGCTAGCGGAGTGCTAAACACCTTTTCCAAGACCACCGATCACACAAGCGTCCGCCATTTTGTTAGCCTTCTGCTTGACAGAAAGCTAACTTTAACGTAAAAAAAATTGCTCTTTAACGTAGAGGCCGTATTAAATAAAACCACATTTGGGTCAATGTAACTCCATTGCGACTCAGTTAGTTACCGTTCAACAACAAAAAAATAGAAAGCGGTGAGAAAGACACGGTTAACTTTCGGTTTAATGGCTAACTAGCGTCCCTGCTAACAACATAGGCCTCCTTTATCAATCACGGCCTCAATTAGGCCCGGGCCTGAAAAGAAAAGGCCCACCCCCAAGCGGCCTCGCTGTTACATCCAATCATTTAATAAGAAAACGAAATGGAAACAAGTACAAACAGCCATATACGCAATCCGGTAAAGACACAGCCGCGATAAGAGGCGCCCCGGGAGCACAAAAAAGCTGCGTACCAGATTTATGCTGCAGGGATGGCCTCAATCCGGTCCCCGGCTTCCCAGGCCGCCTGGTTCCCCCAGACTCGGGCAGGATTCAGTCGGGAATTTAGTGTGATTTGGGCGGGCCGGGAACGAGCAGAGAAGGAGGGGTGAGGGGGTTGTTTCTGGAACACCGCTGAAAAGCGAAGCAGGACGTCTGGAGCCAGACAGTGTCCTGCTACAGCCCCCCGCTTCTCCAGCTCCGAGGCCGCCGTCAGCACGACACGTCACAGCCCGAGAGCGGCAGGAAAATGCGGAAGAGTTGAGGTGGAAATCACCCGAAAGCTACCAAAAAGGCCACGATGAGAGGATGTCTGTTTGCTGGATTGTGGCAAAACTTCAGCGTGGTCTTTCTTTAGTACAAACTCAAAAGCTTGTGCAGCTTGAGTAAAACTATTCTACATTAAGCAAAAAGTAGTGGGAGGCCCAAAGTCAACTAAAACCATTAGTTTTACAAAAAAAAATACTTTTAAGCTACATCTTTCTCTCAGCCAAAAACTTCATTAAATCTTATTGGTATTATATTAATAGACCAAACAAAAAGAAAACATAAATATATTTAAAAAAAAATGAAAGTTAAATTAAAAAATATATATATCTTAGAAGCAACTGTTGCTGTAAGAACTTTACTTTGTTATAGTTTAAGAATATTCAGATTTGATCGATCAAGTTTGCAGCACATTTTTTAGTCTGGACTGAAATTCTCAATTAGATTTAGATCTGGACTTTGACTAGGCCATTCTAATTCATGAAATATACCTTGAACTACCGTAAACTGATGGCTCTTTTTTTTTTCTCCACCCTAATAATAATAAAGATTTCCAAGGAGTATAAACTTGACAAGCATTTTATAACTGCATCACAACATTTTCAGCACTGACATATATATCTTTGTCAAAGCTTGAGATCGACAGATACAATTATTTTTTTTAAGACTGCTGTTGATACTCGTTATTTGATATGTCTGATTCCTGATATGTGCTGTAAATTTGGAACGCTCAGTTCTTTTGGCTTATATATTTTTTTTCTTCCTCCATTTACATGATAGAAATGACACAATGATAACAAATGTTAGACAAAGTCTCAATTTGAACAAAGCAATACATTATGAAAATATCAAAGAAACATTGTTAACAATGGATAGCAAATGGATGATGCGGCAGTGCATGCACCTTTTATGTGATCCTAGGGCATGGCTGCTGAATGCACAAATGAACTGGGAAATGCATGCACATATCAGAGATGTTAATATAAGAAGAAAAATATTGCCTGGTACATACATTTTATTATCCCCGCAAAGGAGATCGTGTTTTTAGGAGAATTTGTCTTTCTGTATAAAGGATAACTTGAAAAGTTATGAACCGATTTTTTTGACATTGTTACCAGAGCTGCACCTCAGTCCAAGGAACAATCGATTAAATTTTGGATCCCCATCAGGATCCAGGAATTTTTGGAAAGATTCTGTTAATATAGGTTTTAACTTAAGGTGGAAGTCATTATATTTCAAGAGAAATTAGCTACATGGCTGAGTTCTTTTCTAGTTTACATTAAAAAACAACATACTGATTGTTTGATCTGGCAATTACTAACTTTAGTGAAACAAGATGAAAGCAATGTACTTCTGTCCATCATATCTGCTCAAGTACTAAAGGGACACGCTCACAAATAATGGTTGTGTATTGTTTTGGTCTGTGAGGCAGACACCCTGTCTACTTTTAAGGCTAGGCTTAAAACTTTCCTTTTTGATAAAGCTTATAGATAGAGTGGCTCAGGTTATCATGAACTATCTCTATAGTTATGCTGCTATAGGCTTAGACTGCTGGAGGACCTAGGGACCCCTATTTCATCCTTCTGCTTCATTCTATCTAAATTCTCCCTCTCTGCAGAATTAGTTAGTTCAATCTCTAACACTATGCTCTCTCTGCGTTCTCATAGTAGCTTCATATGGTCTGTTCCTGTATGGCTGTGACACCATCCTGGAGAGAAATATCAGCTGTGCTGCTGCCATCAACACCTTTGTTTATAGATGCTCAAGTTCGGCCTGTTCTTCAGTGTAGTCCTGTTTCTCTGACTGTGACTGACTGGATGTGCTCTCTCTGTCCTCTGATGTGGGGGGTGGCTCAGAGCTCGTCTGCCTGGCTGTGTGTTTCCTGGACGGGCCGCCAGTGGAGCTGGTTGACAGTTCTGTATCTTTGCTTCTTTCTGTATGTCTGCTTCTATCTTCTTGAACCCCAGTGAGCCTCAGCAGATGGCTGCTCACACTGAGCTTGGTTCTGCTGGAGGTTTCCCTGTGTTATAAGGGGGATTTTACTCCACTACAAGCATGCTTGTAGCGACAGTGGAGTCAATGAGTCGATGCAATTTACTGATTGTCCTCAGATGGAAAACTTTGAAACAATTTGACTGAATGATCTAGTTGAATAGCAAAGTGTCTTAAGATGACATGTTGTGAATTGGCACCATATCAATAAACTGCATTAAATTGCTGTGTGTGCTGTTGGAACCTGTAATAAGAACAGTTTCTGGCCCCAGTTCAAACTATATTTTATATTTATAGTAGCCAGATTCTAATTTCAGCGAGTAATATTTTTGTAGCTATAACTGGAAACTACGAAATGATGACCTGCTTGTACAAAGAGAACACACCTAAAGAATTGTGGTACAAGAATAGGTGACAATGAAGTAGACAGGTGGGATAATGTCATCCCCAGAAAGCCTGTAGAAAGACCTTACTATGAAATGCATGTTCTCATTTCAGCAGGATTGGAAGAACCAGTGGTTGTTTTAATGTGAAAGAGTGAAACATTTCTTACCACATTTTTGGTCTAAAGAGAAAATATTGCTGAATCCAGGGAATATGTGAGGGTCCTTTTAAAGTATGTGCCCTCATTCTGTAACAAATCCCATCACCATTATACATTACTTAATCGCTCTTGGTAGGCTTGTTAAACTGTCTTATTGAAAGATGGATTAATAACTTTAAAAAGTCCTCAGATCTTGATTAAACTCGAATGATGTGTAATATATTTTGAGGACTTCATATTACACATCATTACCACCCACTGTTGTTCTAATTAATATAGACCCACAGACATTTATGCAATATAACACATTAGTTTTTTTGTACAATTCTCTTCCTAGACAATTCCCTCCTTTTTTCCAGTAACGAACCAATCAAAATGCAGTATTTTTTCACAATTCTAGGGTTGAAATAAATTGCATTGCTTCCTGCAGAAATCAGCAAGCAGAGATCATCAACTCACCACTAACTGCAAAGGCATCAAAGCAATAGAAAAATAGTTAAAGGCACAGCTTTTGGTTTCCCTTTTTCATGCCGCCCTGAACAACTACCCCTAGACCTAAATCATAAACCACCAGAGCCGATGATTGTAAGGGATTGCTGTAGAGTAAACAACAAAACCTTGTCGCTGAGTGATAATCTAGAAAAATTTGTTGTTGAACCAATCTGACTAAATTATCTGATTTAATCGTTTCTGTAAACTGCTTTAATATGACATGTGTTGTTAATTGGCACTATACATATAAACTGAATAAAAATTCATATTTATTGGAGTAACATAACCACATTTCCATGCTGAAGAATATGCTTAAATTATGATTTTGCTTTAAATCAATGCTTGTTAAGCTACAAAACATGGAGACAGTTTGTACCAACTGACATTTGATCTGTACAAAATGTCCTGAAGCGAATAACTTTTTCTGACTTAGAGAGGTGGTGAATTAAATGACCAGTAAAATCTATATAATAAAATGCACCAGTTCCCAAATCAATCAATTAATCTATCTATTGATCTATCTTGAATTCTCTGCTGATTGATACAGAATTGAAGTAAAAAAAAAAAAAGATTCTTACCAACTTAATGAATCATGTTATTTTCAAAATCTAACCGTTAAATGTATAAATGTATTATTCTTGCTTTTAAATTTCTGTTCTGCAGAAAGAGTTGAATCACATCAGTTATGTCTAATTTATATCTAATTTATAACAGTAATACATGTATTTCCTACAATAGCATATTATGCATTTCGATATCTACATTACATTAAACATTTTCAAAATATCCCATTGAGCATCATAGTTTACAAAATCACTCTAAGCATGTATTATTTGTTAAGCAACATATAAATCAACCATGAATTATTTTTATTTTACTTATTTGGTACATGAAATACAACTTGGATAACATGGAGGATATTAGACTAAAAAACAGTTTTCATTAAGAAGCAGTCCATTAATACAAGTTATCTGCTTAATATATGGTGTGAATGAGGTTACTGTTGCAGAATAAGGTAATTATGAATTATATACACATATTACAGCATAGTTATAGTATTGATCTGAGCATTTCATTTTGCAGTCATCTTCAGCAGATCCTCCTTTTGGATCTCAAAGAGACGCCAGCCCTCCTGCGAGGACAGATCAGCTGCACCCCTTCTCTTGTAGAACTCAATAGACTGCTTGTTATTTTCTGCTACAATGAAATGCATACTGCTACACCGGGTCTTTACAGCAATCTGGAGGAAAGAGATTTAAAAAAATGGATATTAAAAAACATATATCAAGCATCTAACACACCTAAAATCAACGTAAATATGTGACTGGTATTAGACACAAGCTGTAAGTGTATATAAAGTGTCTGCACCTCACTCAGCACCTTCAGGATTTGTGAACCAATGCCAAGACCTGGTGAAACATTAAACAGGCAGAGCAATTACAACAGCTTTTGCCAATGTTGCAACACATCTGTAAATTATTACACTTTAGCACCACAGCTGAACTGCTCAACAACTTTACCTCGAAACTCCTGCATGACATAAAAGTCCTCCAAATAAAGAAGCTTTCCGATCCATGGATCATATGTGAAGTAATACATTGCAAAGCCAATTACAGAAAACCCTTGATAAAAGAAACTAGAAGTTACAGACTTTATTATAAAGTAATCTCTTTCAGAATAAGTGAAGAAAGGTGTTTACCCTGTGAGCAGTGATCTCTGGGGACCTCTGCAACCAAGCAGTGGTAAAATGGATGTTCTCCAAATCCATCCTCAAGAAGATCTAAATAAAAGAAAGACATTAAAAGACATTATATATGTCTTATTCTATTTGCAAGAATAGGTTATCGCCTGTTTTGATAATCAGTGAGCTTGTTCACAGCACCTTTTTCAGTGAGCACCACCTTCTCCTCCATCTCTTCAAATTTAGCAAGTTCCTGTAATGGATGAAGACATG